TGTAGAGGGGTTGTGCTTTCAACTCTTGGTGATTAAAACAGGCCCTGGATCGATTGATACTTCCAGATCTTGAAAGAACGAGGTAAGTATTCGAATCCCACGACGATATACACGATTGTTCGGGTTATTGTACAATTGGTTTTGTGTGACGTTTGGCTAGGTTTAGATCTTTCCTTCCGCTGCATGAAACCTAGAATCCAAACCCTAGATCGATGAGATCGCATGCTAGGAACCCGAAGGGAACCCAACATTTTGTTCTTCCAAAATTTCTACTAAAAGAGATCGACAGCCTCTGCTCTAGCTTTCTTTGGCAACAAGGACCAGACAAGAAACCTAGCCACCGTATAGCATAGGACACGGTTTGCAAACCTAAGCGTGAAGGGGGTTTAGGCTTACGGCGGATGGAGGTACAAAATACGGTATTTCGGTTAAAACTAATATGGTTGCTCTTGAGTAAAGCAGATTCTATATGGGTCGTATGGATCAGAGCAAACGTCTTCAAAGGGAGGACTTACTGGGAATGCCCACAAAACGTCGGGGCAACATGGAATTTGAAGAAGTTGCTACGGCTGAAGGAACGAGCCAGGGAGTTCACTAGGATCCAGCTTGGAGATGGAGGAGACGCATCCTTTTGGTATGACAGTTGGTTGGAGATTGGACCTCTCATTGAGTTCATCGGGATGGCCGAACCTCGCCTCCTGAGGTTACCGAAGACAGCGAGAGTTAAGGATGCAGTCCACGAGGGAAGTTGGCTAATCCGAGGAGCAAGGAACGAGCGGGTTCAACAACTACAGACCATACTCTCGAGAATGGAACCCCCAAGCCCGGACAATGGCTTGACCAACCGCTTTGGAGAAAGAATGACGACAACTATCATCCGACATTTGTCTCAAGACTTACGTGGGACAAAATCAGAACCCCGGCTGCTCCGGTTTCATGGTTTGGCCTGGTATGGTTTGAGAAAGCCATACCCAGACATGCATTCCTCTTATGGCAGGTCCTTCACCAAAGACTACCGACTTCGGATAGAGTGGCTCGCTAGGGGATACAAGGGCCGAGTCGATGCATACTATGCCGGAAGGAAGTTGAAACCCTATCTCACTTATTCTTTTACTGCGAATATAGTGCAGATGTGTGGCTCTCCCTTGCAGGAAATCTTGGAGGCTCTCCCCCTAGAGTGGTTGTGGACGCCGGGCCGTGGATTAATCAACATCTCACGACAACCCAACGGACAACAAAGCTAATCAAGAGTCTTCTCTTGCAGCTAGTAGTATACGAGATTTGGAAGGAACGTAATGGACGGACACATAAAGACGTCGCAAACTCGCCACAACAATTGCGGTTCAAGATCGATAGGATAATGCAGAACATACTCATATCCTTGCACAAACCGGATTCTACCGGATCAAATGACCCCCTCCAACAATGGTATCGCCTTATATATTATGACTGAGATTTAAGTTTTCGTTATTTTTGTTCACTTGTAATAGGAATCATTATCTCTCAGGATCTGTGGTACATGTTAAACTCATGTAAACTTTCGGGTTATTTTTTGGTAGTAATATAACAATCACATTAAACCAAAAAAAAATAATATATAGGCAACCGAATACAACCAATATGTATATATATAGGCAGCCGAAGGAACGAGCAGAGGCTAATTATGGAAATCCTAGACACTAAGCTTTGCACGAGTAAATGCGGTTTCTCACGTGACCTCACGTGACCCTTTTCTTGCCACACTTCCCTCTCTCATTTTCCCTTTCTCCTTGCCATGTGGAAGGTTTTACTCATAAATCGAAATATGGTGGAAAGAAACTGTCAGTGACCGTCACTGTATATATAGCACATATTCGGTTCAATTTACGGTTAAATGGGTCGACCGGCGTTTGGCGCAACTATTTGATTGCAATCGGTATAAATTGAGTGTGCCTATATACAGCCACATACTTTCGTTTTCTTTATCAATAGCTTGTCGCTGTCGGGAGAACCGATTCAAAAATTAATATCCGGATCGTACATATTGAAAATTTTGATAAATAAATATGAAGTATCGATCTTATATCGGATGTAGGGGTGGTCATTTCGGGTTTCGGTTCGGGTTCGGTTCGGTTCGGTTATTTCGGTTATTTCAGTTATAAAAAAACTATAACCATTCGATTTTTATATAAAATTTGGTTTGGTTCGGTTTGGTTATTTTTCGGTTCGGTTTTGGTAAAAAGTTCATTTTTCAAAGGAATTATCGAATTTTTCGGTTATTTTTTTATTCGGTTCGGTTTGGTTTCGGTTTTTTCGGGTTTAAAAAAATCATAACCGTTCGATTTTGATATCGGATTCGGTTGGGTACAGTTAAATATTATTCGGTTCGATTCGGCTCGATTATTCGGTTAATAATCGAAATGGCCTCCCCTAATCGGATGCATGCACGTAGTTTTCCATCAAAAAAAAACCCCATCAAATGAACACCTAAAGCGATCATTAACGTCGCAATTAAAATATTGAATGTTCATAAAGAGGATGAATTTTGTTTTTAAAATAATTTTGTTGTTGTTGTAAATATTAAAAGAGAAAATTAAAGGGACAAGCAAATAAAGGAGTTTTAGTTGGAAAGAGGGAGACAGAAGAATGGGAAGTCACATGTTCTTAGTTACAAAGCAAAGAAATGCCGTCTCACCAAAAAAAAAAAAAAAAAACAATCATCTCCCCCATTTGCGCCATTGATTCCATATCTTTTTTTTCCCTTTATAATTTTACAAGGAAAGGTGATACCATCTATTTAATATATTTTTTTCCCATCTGAAAAGAACATCATGTGATTTATTCGGACATTTTGATTTCATGTCTTAATTCTCAAGATTTGGATATATGAGAGAGAGTGTGTGTGTGTGTGTTTTTAATCTCTCTCGTGGCAAATTAACGCGCATGATGAATTGCATAAGAATTAAGATGAACTCTTAGGGTTGATATTCTGAATTAACCTTAACATGGGTTTATTTTAATTTTTTTTTCAATATTAAAAGATTAAAATAAAAAAAAAACATGGGTTTATTTAAAAATATTGTTTTCCGATATTAAAAGAATAAAATAAAAGGCTGCCAACAATGGAGAGCAGGATAATAATTGTTCTATAATTCTCTATCACATTGGGCTTAAAGGTCCATCATGTATACAGGGCCGTATATATCATGACAAGTGAGCCTTATCTGTTGGGTATTTATCCAAAGTACTGCAACTGACAGCCAAGCCCATCAAACCACAATTTTATTTTCCCCTATAAAATAAAAATATAAATATCATAAATATACAAACTATATTTTTCCACCAAAGTACTCTTTTGGCATTTTTAAATATGTAGGCTTGAAAACTATAATTCAATTTCAATTAATTCCTTTGGAAATTAAAAATTAAAACACACTTCCCAATTTTTTTAATAATTGACGTTATAGATAAAAAAAAATGGTTTCAAAATAGTTGTTATTTTAGATATAATTTTTTAAAATAATTTTTAATTTTATCTTTAACTAAAACTAATCAATTCTAATAAATTTAATGAATATTAATTATATTTCAACTTTAAATAAGGGTATACATAAATTTTTTTTTTACCGTTTTATAAAACTTATGAAAAAAATTAAAACGTCAATTATTATGAAATAGAGGGTCTATTAAAATTGGAGCATGCATGCAAATGGACTTCTATTTGCCTTCTTCATCTTGTAGAAATAGTCACATTAAATGGTTAAGCATGAATGACATAGTATGTATGAGTTATGGATTTTTTTGGTCCGGTGTGTATAATATATGATTTTGTAGCAGAGAAATTAAATAATGCATAAGAAGAATAAATGTTATTGTAAGAGGATAAGGATGAAATCCGATTTTGTTCAGTCTCTGTCTGGTTCTCACATGGCTCTGCCCTTCTCATGTGCCCTACGATACCAAACACACCACCCTTTAGGACAGGAAAAAAAAAAAGAAAGCCTTTGGATTTTGTAAAATAATTTTTTTTCGTTATTGTTTTTTTACAAAATAGAAATGATTAATTTTTAGGTTCTTTCTCTCTCCTCTCCAACAAAACACACAAAATTCTGGGTGGCCTTTTCCTCCTCTCTCTCCAGCTCCTCGAATTCTCTCTCTTAGGTTTATTTTCTCTCTCCTCTCTCTTCTTTCGCTTTCTCTCTCTCAATCTCTCTCAGGTTTCTCTCTCCTCTCTCTCTCTCCCCCGGAAGGAAAAAAAAGCCCTTAAAGAACCGTTTAGACCAACTCACGTAAGTTTTCTCTCTCCTCTATCTATCTGTCTATCAATCCATCTCCTTCTCTCTCTCTCTCTCTCTTATTTTTGAAATACAATGGGTCCTTGTACTGTACCGCCTTTCCATTTCCATTTCCATGAAACATTCTTTATAAATATCTCGTTAGATACGCGAGATGGCTTGAAGTTTTTGTGATTTTGTTTGTATGGATCGTCGCTTTGTGTCGCGATCCTTTTAGATCTGCCTCCGGATTTGGCAGATCTTCAGAGACCCTCGTGGATCTGCATGTGGGTTTCCGGAGGAAATGCGAAGAACCTTTGAAAATTTTCGCAGTCCATGCAATTCCGTGTTTCGATCTGATAAAGACCCCTAATTTTTTTATTTCCGAGTGTATCGAATATCTGTGTTTTTTCTTCGAATCCGTCGTTTTTCCCCGCACCTGGATCTGGGAAATGGAAGGGTTTTGCTTAATCGGTGATAGATCTCGAGTATTTCACCGGAAAATCGACGAGCCCGAGTTGGCGAATCAGATTTTCTCGGCACCCAAACAGAGATTTAGAATCCCTGGGTTGGATTTCGATTCGATCGATGTCTAGGTTTTGTTGCTACTGGTTGAATCCCGCCTTGTGCGGCCATGGATCTGTTCGATTGTTCTGTAATTCCCCATTTTTCCAATCCATTTATTTCAATACATTAAACAGGAAAGGATTATGCATTATGCTTCCCTCATACCAACCAAATCGTGTTTATGGAATTGTAGTTCCTTCTCATGGATGATGATGGGTTTCGCAACTGGGGCTACTACGAACCTGCGAATTTCAAAGGCGATCTCGGCCTGCAGCTTATGTCGAGCATTGAACGGAACACCAAGCCGTTCTTGCCGGGTCGCGACCCGAACGTAATGGTCGGACCAAACGGCTCGTATCACCCACGAGATTGCCCTGTGCCCGAATCTCCGATCCCCATGAACTATGGCTGGATCAATCAGCAGAAGGATTATTTTTTCAATATGTTGCCTGTTAACCCGCCCAATTACAGCAATGTCCTTCCGGAAACTTCTGGAGCTCCGTCAATGCAGATTCTCCGCCCGGCCGTGAGCTCGTCCCGAGTCGAGGCAAGCCCAGTTCCCGGAGAAGAGGAAGTCCCTCAGAACAAGAAGCGAAAACCGGGAGGGGCTTCGAAAGGCGGATCCAAGCCAAAGAAACCTCGGAAACCGAAGAATGACAACGGAAACGAGCATAACGGGAACGTTCAACGGGTGAAACCGGCTAAGAAGAGCATGGATGTGGTCATCAATGGCGTGAGCATGGACATCTCCGGTCTATCTGTCCCTGTCTGTACATGTACTGGAACTCCTCAGCAGTGTTACAGATGGGGATGTGGCGGATGGCAATCTGCTTGTTGCACTACAAATATATCGATGTATCCTCTCCCGATGAGCACGAAGAGGCGAGGGGCGAGGATTTCGGGTCGGAAGATGAGCCAAGGAGCTTTTAAGAAAGTTCTTGAGAAACTTGCAGCTGAAGGTTACAACTTTGCTAACCCTATTGACCTGAAGAGCCATTGGGCTCGTCATGGTACCAACAAGTTCGTCACCATCAGATAATCCTCTGTTTTTTTTTTTGTGTGCGTGTGCCCGCTCTCTCATGGATCAAGTATGTATGTGTGTGTGTGTGTGTGTGTATATATACATACATACATACATCTGTGGCATACATTTCCTCTGCAACTGTGGGATAAAATCGTTTCAGGTAACTTCTTGGCCTTTGGGTTTTCGTCAAAGCTCTCGTTTTACGGTCTTTTTTTTTAAAAAAAAAATTCATGTCTGTTTCTGTTGTTTGTTCTGTGTTTGAGAGGACGACAGAGGAGAATCTGCAGGGTTTTTTTTTATATATTTTATTTTATTTTTCCTTGGGGCTTCCGATTTGATTTTGTTGGTAGATCGAAATGTTAGTCGATTTAGTTCGTCCTCTGTTCCTTGTTCTTTTCCCAATCTTAGAAAGTGCGCTGACTTGTAACAGATGTTCTTTGTTTATTGAATGTTTGTATTGAAAATATATTCTACCTCTTGGTTCTTGTCTCTAGTTTATATAATATCTCCGAAGATTAGTCTGGATGGACATATTCGATTATTAAAAAAAATGTAACCATTTTTATATTTAAATGCACGTGTTAAAAATGGCTGCCATTCTGTAACAATCTGTCCCAACAAAAAGTGTAATCTTATGTTGAAGGGGCCAGAGAATGGTCAAAATGGGGTCAATTCACGTTAGAGATCTTTTGCAGAATTGGAACGAATCTAAACGAGTTTTAGAATCTTAAAATGCGCTGTTAAAATATTTACGGATGTGTTATCTTGATATTATAATTTAAAAAAAATAATTTTTACATGTTAATTAGAGTCTAATTAAGTCGGGAATCTCATCTCTAGTAGCAGAAACATTCCCAGGTTCGTCATGATCCATTTCTATCAGATCTGGATTCCTCCCTCTCCCTCTCTCTTCGCCTTCCTCGATCTCCGGAGCCATTGACGTCGACGTTTCCATCTTTGGCTGTTCATCTTTCTCCTTCCGCACGGCCGCCGGAGCGCCATGGACGAGCTTCTCGAGCACCATTACGTCTGCTTCCGGAATCCTTACGAAGTCTGGGATCTCGTGAGTGTTTGGGATCCCGAAATCTTTGCAGAATTCGAAATACCTGCAGAGATCTTCTCCCTGCTTTATGGATTTGGTCACGATCTTCAGCGCCATTTTCGCTTCTGGTTTTCCTGTTTTCGAGTGAACCTTCGGCAGAGCTTCGGCTATTCCGACGCAGATCCGACCGTAGATCTCCAGGATCTCGATGATTACGTTGTCCATGGCTTCGTTTATCAGAGGCGTGCTCATGTTTTCTGCTATCGGTTTGATTCTCATCAACGAATCCACGAGATTTTGCATCTTACGGATGATCGTGAGCTGGATCATGACCGATGATTCTTCATCGAGGAGGTTCACGTCGTGGAAGAGGATCGATCTCTGGTCCAAAAACACGAAATAAGCTCGTACAAAGAGGTTGAATCCGCAGGATCTGCTCAGCAGCGAACGAGTCACGCCGAATCCGGAGAGATCGAACGGTAACCGTCCGATTGACTCAGCCGCCGGGACCTTCCGGAGGAAGAAACCGTGAATAAGCATCAAACCCTTGAGAGCCACCGCCCAGCTGCGAGTGCGACCCGCGCGCGAGGAGATGATGCCTGCGAGCGGCCTGAGGCTCGACGGAGAGGTCCGTACGTACCGGTAGATGAACTCAGCGTTGCCGGAATCCATGGAGAGCTCATCGTGGCTCGTAGCCTTAACGACGGCGATCGTTAGACAGTCTTCCGCCGCGATTAGGCTGTTGCCGTCCTTCAGAGCTCCGGCGGTGCGTCTCCATAGCTTCATCGCCTTCAATGTTCCGATCATTCAAAGTAAACCTTGAAAAAAAGTAAAGAGATGTTCGGAAGATTGAAACGGCAACGCCAATCGGAGATCAACAAATTACGAAGTCGAGGTTTGTTGATTCCGTTGCCATTTTCCATTGTTTGATTTCTTCTGTTATATAATCATGACTATGACAGTTGTCTTCATCTATTTTTGTCTGCAACAGATAAGACCCATTTCTACTCCGGGGTGTGCGATTCGGTACGGTTATAGCACCGAACCGAAAAAATTCCATACGGTTCTCAAATCGAATTGTCCAAAATTTTTGAAGGATAATGCTTTTAGAAAACTGAATATTCCTCCATTAACGGAACCGAACTGAACATTATTTAAAAATTCGAAAATTTAAAAATTTATTAAGATGGAGAAACAGTGAGAAGATGAAATGTTGGTTATTTGTATCAACTTCAGTCTATGCAATGCATCATGCAAGTTGTTTTGTTTAATAATATAACAAAATTAGAGGAGAAAACACAATATGTGCATATATGTGTTTGAGGCACATGCTATGCTATGGGTCTTTTAGCAATAGTTTGAAAAACTTGGTTTGGAATGTGGATTTCGAATCCTGGACTATGTCCACCCATTTTTTAGTAATACAATCAAATTATATAAATAATAATAATAATAATAATAATAATAATAATCATAATTTGTCACCACTCGGACATTCCACACGTGGAATACTTTAGGCTCAAATTATGGTTTAAAATGTAAGGCCCATAAAAGTTATATGGGCCAATGAATAGAAAAGCCCATATGTAAAGCTCGAATGAACAACTTATCCCTTGTTTGGCGTGATGCACACGCGCATGGAAGCGCGTATAACGAATTCTGCCCACAGACCCCCCCCACTAATCACTGATGTAACCATGGTTTTAACTTGAGGTAACATTTATTTTTATTTGCCGGGCGGACAGATTCTTTATTCGTACATGTAAAATGATAATACAAAATAAAATTTTGGGATGTGGGGCCCAAAGCATTTAAATAAAGAGGTCGGGAGGGTAAGAGGGTTCACATTTAAGAGGGACAATAACTACAAAAGTACAAATCTTGGGGGGAGGATTAGGTCATAAATTACACACACAATAAAGGCACCACAACTCTGATAAAAGAGAGAAGATTGCTTTGTAACTCCCCACTCTTCTTTCCTCTGACACAACACAACAAAAAGCCTCCCAAACATCACTTCAAACACAAACCCACCTTCGTCTTTTAACCCATTTCCTCTCTTCACCCTGAGAGGAGAGAGAGAGAGAGAGAGAGAGATGCAGAGCCCCGTCTATGGAGAATGCATGCGTAACCACGCGGCTAGGCTCGGCTCCTACGCCACCGACGGCTGCCGGGAATTTTTCCCCTCCGCCGCCTCCGGAGACATCTGTGCCGCCTGCGGATGCCACCGGAGCTACCACCGCCGCCTCCATCCGCCGGAGATCCCCGCCTCCTCCGCCGGAGAAATCATCCCCCACCACCCGCGTCACCCCTTCACCAGCCTGAGGCGCGTGAAGCAGCTGGCGAGGCTGAGAAGGGAGGAGCCGGGGCCGCCGCTGCCTCCGGCGACGGAGACGGAGGAAGAGGAGGAGGAGGAGACGGTGATGATGCGGCGGCGGAGGAAGTCGAAGTTCACGGCGGAGCAGAGGGAGGCGATGAGGGAGTACGCGGAGAGGTTGGGATGGACGCTGAGGGACAAGAGGAGCCTTCGGGATGAGATTAAGATGTTCTGTGACGGGATTGGCGTCTCTCGTTATCTTTTCAAGACTTGGGTCAATAATAACAAACGCTTTTACTTCTAATCTCTCGATTTTTCTTTATTAAATCTGAAATATTATGACAGAGTAATTTGTTTGACCCCTTCTCTCTCTCTCTCTCTCTCTTAGATTGGAAAGTGAACAACAGATGAATTTTGACCAATTTTTTTTCTTCTGTCGGTAACCTGAAAAGACAACGTATTTATGATTATTAGTAATAATCAAATCAGAGAAATTTTAAAAAAAAAATGTAATATGAAGAAGGTGGTACAGCTGGCATTTATTTATTTTTTTCTCACGCACACATAATACAAAAAAAAAAAAAAAAAAAAAAAAAGAGAGATAAGAACCCCGGTTAAAGGTTTGGTGTCGGGGAAAAAGAAAAAAAAAGCAGCAAGGTCTGGAAATGACTAAAAGAGAAGCAACTTGGGCTGACATAAATGGGCATCTTTCGAGTTGGGCCTATAAGTCCGAACTTGGACGTTTCAGTATTCGCGGTTCAGATTCGTTCAAGTTCATTTTTTTACGATTCTAAAAAAAAATGTATATCAATCAATTATTATTTTATATCCCGTACGATTTCAGTTTGTTAAAACACTTTTGGATTTTTTTTAAAAAAAATTTAAATTTCTGTTTTTTAATTTTTTTTAGTATTCGTCTCAATTCAGATATGAAAATTCAGCTTTCTAAAAAAAAACTATCGCTTAGAAACTTTAGACATTTTGGTTCGAAAACTATTTTTCGGTTCAGTTCGGTATGGTCCAAACAAAGCCGACTCAAAAGAAGATGCATTATGCACTTTTTATACTCTTGTCCTAAAGCACTAAAACGTCAGCAACTCAGTTGTTATGTTTTTTTGTACTAAGAAGGAGGAAAACACTTCGAAACACTCAAAAGTCACACCCACACCCACGCTATCACTTCAGTGTACAACCCTTTATCTGTATTCACATTGACTCTGCTCTTCCATTCCCAATCTAAAGCTCTGCGGTTCCTCGTCCTGCATCAAATCAAACAGAGTTCATCTTCTGTTGTGTTACACAAACTGCATTGAAGAAGCTTGACAAGACTGGAAAGGGATTTACTGAAAGGTGTCTTGTCTGATTGAGAGAGAGTCAGCCCTGTGGAGGGGAGTCCGGCTCGGAACCGCAAATAGAAGTGTAAGTAGAGACTGTATCTTCCTTTTGTATTGCCACAAAGTTTATTGGAGCAGTAGAGAGCCTCCTCACTTCCTTGAAATATCCGTTCTGGCGCTGACCCGAGTAGGATCTCGGGGTCAGGAGGTCAGGAGTGGTCGTCCCGACCGAGTTTCTGCGGGGGGTAGCCGTCATTGACCCGTTCCCGTATGATTTTCTGAAGCTGTTGCTTCTTCTTGGACTCGGTTTTGACCCGTAAATAGCTTCCCTCTGGGTTAGTAGCAGGTCTTGACTCTTTTTCTGATCCTGCAGTGAAATGTAGTAGTAGTTTAACATGGGAGTTTGATCTCTGAATATTCAGAGTTCAAGATCCATTCTTACAGACCCGAAATCGTTTCTTTTCCTCTTCTCGTTGTTTTCTTGTCATTTGGTAATCTTCCAGTATAGAGACCAACCGAACCTGGAGGAAACAGTCACAATAATCAGATACAGGACTTGGTCAAGAATGTGTACTTGAAAGCTTTTAACTTACACCGTCATATAGAAATGGCTTCTGCCTTTCTTCTTCCCAGACAAGCGTCCTCTTAATGAGAGTGTCAACCATTGCTGCAAAAACCAATGAAGCAACCCAAATAATAAGCTAAGACTTTCATTCTAATTCCATCTGAAGATGCTTATGATGAGGATGGAAAGTACATGGAATTTTGCTGACTGTAACCCGGGCTCGTTCTGCACGCTTGAGGTTTATGTGTGAACCTCTTCCAGCACTGTACCGGTTCTCATCCTGAGATCAAAGAAAGGAACTTTCAAATACATTCTCACAAGAACCATACCTTTTTTTTTTTTACTGAAAATCCCAAGCTTTTCATACTTGATTATATTCCTCCAACCAGTTTTCCTCTTCGCAGGCAGAGAGCCAGCGATGAATCCTATCCATTATTTCTTTCCGACTCTGTGCTTCTTCTTGGCTTTTGTTAATCTGCACTTCGATATTAGCCAGGAGCTCTGAAGGGTCCACCAATCCTAAAGACAAAAATATAGAAGACCGGCCTTAATAAAAACTCTGACAAGCAAATACTTCTATCAGGAAGAACGCAAGATCCATCCCTTATACCAGAATCAATCAACGCAATAGATTTTTCAACCGAAGTGCTCGTGTCAGGCTCAATATGAGCCATTCTGCAGAGATCCTCTAACTCCGACCTTCTTTTCATCACAAGCTCCTTCATTCTGCTGGCTTTCAGCTTGCTGAGACAGTCTACTTCCTCTGAAACCTAATGCAGATGCAGCAAAGAACTCAAATGTCAGGTGTGGTTAACCGTGTAAACGAGAATCAAAGAGAGGCGATAACATTTTCTAAACCTGTTCAATTGTCTTGGTTGAAAGGATGCCCGGCTCGTTGATACTGGATTCAGATGATCTTACAGCAGAAATGACATGGGCAAATCGAATTCTCTCTTCCTGTGGTGTGTCCATCAGGTTCCACAGCTCAAAAAGTGATGTTACTATATCTTTGAGCTGCACAATTGAAGGTAATACGATATCAGAAAGGCTGCATACATATATATATATATAGAAGAATAACATTGCAAACCAAGAAACATGTATATACACAGACACCTTTTGAAATCGGGCTCTCCTTTCCGCTTTGAGCTTCTGTATCGTGTGTTCTAGGCCACCCAATGTGTTATCACTAATGTTTGTAGATTGCTCATGGTTTGTCCGATGTAAACTTGGGTGAACCTCACTAACTGTTTGACCAAAGTCAATTCCCAGAACACCGCATAGAGTGTGGACTTCGTTCACGTGATCCAAAACCTTGTTCAGACGATCAGACTGCAGCGAAAAAGGATAGAAAGTGTAAGCAAACATACAATCATAGATTTGGAACAGAGTTTATAGGACACCTCATACAGAATCCTTAGTCATTGGTTCCCTTCTCATAGCTTTAGATGAAAAGTCCTCACCTTTTCCTTCTGCAGGGTACGGAGATGTGTCTGATACTCGTTAAGTTTCCTAAGAGACAAATCTTGCTCTTCGAGAGTCAAGGAACTGATCATGGCCTTGTTGAGTTGGTCACTGTACCCCGAGATTTCTCCACTGATTTTCTCAATTTGTGCCTTTATATCTGCAAATTGCTTCATTCTTTCCTCTTTCTGCAATCTCAAGTCTTCCACTAGAGGTTTCACGGCCTCGAGCTTTTCTTTCAAAGATTTTGATCCCTTCCCAGCTTTAATCTGTGCATGCGAAAAAACCCATAGAAGGCAACAAAAACCTTACAGAATATCTTTCCCCAGCATTTCTAAATGTGGCATACATTAACACAAAGTCCATCTCTGAAACCTGAATTCTTGAGAAAATGAGTGAAGCTCATACCGGTGACTGCATGTTTAAGACCCCGAGAGCGGCCATTAGAGAAGCAACTTCAGCTTCAACGGCTGCAACAGACTGATGAAGCCGTGCCTTAGAATTCGAGGCCTCTTCAACTTTTCTCCTGTAAATTTCAAGGCATTCCCTCTCCAGCTCCATTAACATCCGGTCTTTCTCGGTCTCAGACTCACCAATGTCATCCCATATTTGCTGCTCCACATTCACATCATCAGCCATAAACCCAGTAACGTAATTCCCATCACATCACGAAATTTGAGGAACTCCCAAACAAAAACAAAAAAGCATTTACAAGATAATGGTGCATGGGTTCATGTTAGACCTACAAAAAGTAGACTGATTTCCACAAACTGAGGCGTGAAAGAGAGCAAACCAAATCTATGATGAACAGAATTCAACAATTACAGGAACCTTTTGACTTGGAGGGGGAGAGAGAAAAGAAGATAAAAACGACTTTATAAGTCATTAGCGCTGGTAAACACACTCTGAGTTAAAAAAGACTCAACCTTTTTCGTCCTCAACACAAAACCTACAAGGAAAAACACTGAGATTTTGCCAGCAACCCATCATCAAGAATAACCCTAATTTTCCAAGAAAGCAAACGACCCACGGAACAAGAAAATGGGAGGAGGCGAAAAAAGGGCGTGAAAGAGTGAAGAGAGGATGAACAAACCTGAAGCTCTCTGAGAAGAGCATTACAAGTAGTGTTCGTACGGAAACTAAGGACCGTAGGGCTTCCAACCTCCAGCATTTCAGCAGACCTTCCTCGCTTCAATTCCCAAATCCCAGACTTAGAATCTTGAGAAAAAAACAAACCCAATCGCGGGGAAGAACACCAGCTACCCGTCGCCGCTACTCTGAGAACTGGCGTTCGCCACTACAATGGCTGCAGAGAAGTCAAAGAACAGAAAAAGACCACTGCTCGCAGGAACAAGCCTCAGATCTAAAAGCTTTCATGAGAATCGGAGACTGTGAACTAAAACGCACTCATCACTTCTTCAGGGAGGTGGAAAAACCGATGAGCAAAGCAAGGAAGCGAACTGAGTTGCAGGAAAGAAAAATTTCTGCGGAGAGGAAAAAGAAAAAGGAATAATAATTGTTTGATTAAGGGCTTAAGCTGAAAAAGGGAATGAACAGAGAAGAACAGCGAGCAACAACAGAGAGAGAGAGAATAGTAATGAAATGAGCTTCCTTTATTATTTACATTGCTATTATTATATTGCTCGTATTATTATTTTTGATGAAATTCCTCTCATTATTTTTTTTTCATGGGAATGCGAGATAAATGGCGAAAAGACGGACGTAGGCGCGTGGTCGGTACTTGCGCGTGAGAGACACGAGCCAATAAAAACGAAGAGATGAGGTGACTGTTGATGACCGGAGCGTGGCGAAAGGATCTTGTCGCTTAGTGCTGATAGAAGAAGAGTCGCTGACAGAAGTAGCTGTTTCGACGGTGAAGTGTAAACTTTACGATAAGATTTTCTTATTTTTATTTTTATTTTTGGTAAAAGATTTTCTTATTTTGTATCCTTCTGATAAAAAATATTTATTTTTATTTTAAAAAATACTTAAAATGTAAGTTCCTATATATGAATCTGATACCGAGGACGAGAACGTGGTCCTTCACCCATTTTTCTAAACCTCCGGAAATTTTAATTTTTTTTTCCAAATTCATTAAACTTTAGAATATGATTTTCCAACGACTAGAGAAATGCGACGTATAACTGGAAAATCTGAGAGATACAACCAATTATATCTTATATTAATCTAGATTTATACAAGCATTTTCCGTAATTTGTCAATATATGATTAACGTCGCATAGTAGATGCTTTGGCGGATTAGGTGCACAATCATCCGCATACGCACCCAACTCGTATACATGCACATATATACATATATATGTATATGCATACCAACACATATTTATGTTCATATGCATGATCGGTACCATTACTAACTCCATGTCTCTTTTGGGGTTCTTCGGACGTTCGTTGATAACTATCGAGTCATCGACCCCACGGACCAACCGAATTATTTCGAATAATCATGAGACTATTCGTAACCATCGAAGTGTTTTTTTTAATTGAATAATTACACGGTCCCTTTATTTTTTCCATTCGCATTTAAGATAATGTTCTTTAGATTGAGGTGCACTTTGGTCACAACAAAGATGCCAATTTGGTCATATCGAAAGGGAGGGTGAGGTAGTGGTGGTGGCGCCCATTGGCTCTCCTCTCCACTAATTTTCCCATGGAGATGAATGCCTTTATTCGGCAAGGTTGTTAAAGAGTATCCTCTCCAAATGCTATTTAGTATTGCCCTGCCCGACACCTAATCAAATATGCAATCATAACCCAATATATTAATCTATTGTCTAAGGCCATATATTATAAATCTTTAATTTGAACACACACATAATTTCCCATCATATTATGGAGTTATCAAGATCTATTATCCACGAATTTATTAAAGGTTTGTTTTCCATTGATAATTACATGCTTTCCGTCAAGAAAAGGGTGATTAAATTCTAAATAAATGAGAATAATGATTGATGTGACTAATACCATTCCTTTTTTTCTTTAATAAAGGCATCGCAAGATTTAATTTCATCCTTGCATGTAGGGGACTCATCAAATATGTTTACAAAAAGAACATTAAGCATCTAATTTTTCATTAAATCACTGCTCTTAATAGGAAAAATGAAAGGAAAGAAACAATAAAAATGTAAAATCACCAAATCAACCCATTATAAAAAAAAATGAGAAAAAAAAAATTAAGGTGGTTGTGTGGGAGAGACAAGTACAAACAAATGGACATATAGAGCAAAGGTGGGGCAAGAGGGTCATGAATTATTAGCCGACACTATTAGTTCTAACCTCTTCTATAGATAGACGTTCAAGGTCAATGCCAATTATGCCATATCCTTATTGGCATCAATCATATGTAATACTAGTTTATTACGTCGCAAACTACAAAAACAATAATGGGAGTGGATGTGTCTGAAAAAAAAAATACACATAATCCATTATCTTTAAGTATAGGTATACATTAGTTTTTGTCTAAATCAAAACTAATCCAACATTAATCTAATAATATACTTACATGATTCCAATCTTGTCAAGTTGTACATTATATATATATATATATATATATATATATTATGTGTCTGTAAAACTAATTTTATAACCAAATGAGCACATTAAAAAGGGGAGAGCTATTCATAAAGACTCGAAAACATCACATTAATAGAGAATATTGCAACCAAGAGTTCATACAACTTATAAGAATGACTAATTTAAGAATTTTTTTTTATAGATTTTAAGTTATACACATTTAACCATATAACTATAAACAAAATAAAACATTGGAACTAAAGTATCACAATTTTAGGCTTTATGGATTGGTGAATATATTAATTTCTTTTAACTAAAAACAAAATTGCACTACACAGGAAGGGTTTTCCCGCATGTGTGGGAGACTAAATATTTAAAGTCAACGTTATGTTGGATACAGTAAGATCTCGTTGCAGAGAAACATTTTATTATACAAAATACGCTTTCGATGCGTAGAAACACAATATTATTACATAAAAGCCATAGAAATGCAAAGCAAGAATTTTTTTTTTCTGGATAATCGGTATTTTGGGCAAAAGTCCAAACGAATCTCGGAATCAGAACAAAGAAAGAAAAGTTTATCACACCACACCAAAATTATTGAGACGGCGATGAACAGTGTAAGATTAAGGTCGTGAATAGTTAGAATTTTTAGAATTCAAAAATTCAAAAAACTAACATTCAAATTTTTGTAAAATTTCTTAAAATATTGGGAAGTAGTGAAAAATCAATAAAAAAACCAAAAACTACAATTTTTTTGGACTTTTAAATATTATAAAATAAAAAAACTAGAAACTAAAAAACAAAATACAAAAACTAAAATAAAAAATTCAAAATAAAAACAATCACCAAAGCCTTATTTTTACAAAATATAAACTCCAGTATCATATGAGTAATAACAAAGCTGTTAATTTACACTAATATAATATTAAAATTTTGATTTTGGTAATAGAAAAGAATAAAAAGTCATGCAATCAGTGGTACCTTGTGCCTTAGGGGCATCTAAAGAATCAATGCCCTTAAACAAGTGGTTAAGGGTCTAATCAATTTTAGTCTAATCATACTCTTATCTAGTTGTTGGATTTGATAATCAGTGTAAGAGCTGAAAATAACATTACATCCATTAATTTATCACCACATAACAATCATCCTATAAATTATTGGATCTATTGACCATAACTGTAGTTGGAATAGCATTTAAATCGGTTATCCCCCCCCCCCCATTTGGAAGGGGCAAGGGACTGGGTGGTGTAAACAAAGATGAACCCTAAATATACTACAGAGGATAGGAAACAAAATGGGGAAAATTGATATCTAAATGCTCAGATCAGCGGAGTCAAATGCAGAATTTAAAGCAATAATATTTATAAGCAGCATGATCATTTAAAATCACGATACTCTCGTGAAAATAAATTCTTTTGTGACGGTTGCACTAGATCTAGTGTCACATGTCTCATGATTACCCCAATGAAAACAATATATATATATGTGTGTGTGTGTGTTACTATATAAAACATAATTTCAACCAAAACCCACAAAAATTTATAGTATATGAGAGATAAAATCACATAAACATCCAGAAAATATTGTTTTCTTAATTGCATGCCATCCTTGATCACTATCCTATAGATGTAAACAGAAAAAAAAAAGGAACTTGTAACCACTAATAATTAAAACAACGGATAATGTTAGAAATGATTGGTGAACACGAAAATATCATTCATCTCAACCTAGCGAATCGACAACTACAAAACCTATAGTTTTAGTGATTAACTTTTTTTTTGGGCAAAGTTTAGCCTAAGATGGGTTCGAACTGAGGGTACTTTGTATTTTCCTATTTTACAATTCTACCATCTACGTTTGGGTAAATTTTAGTGATTAACTTGGAATATGAAATGCCATATTTTTTTAATATTATGGACGCCAGTAAATACCAGAAATGGTTGGGCATCAAAAGTTTGAAGCTTTTGATAATGTTTTTAATCTCTTTGCCTTTGGTCACAAGGCGACAGATCTCCCGCATAGAAAGGCAACTCAAAGGGCACATCTTTTTTTTTAATTGTTCTAGAAAAAGGGAGTGAATGGCCGTGTGGTAGGAGCCCATATTGTTCTTTTTTTGTTCATTTTTTTATATATACGTAATTTCGAATAATAAGTCAGTGAGATCAAAGATCTAATTGTTCTGTCTATCTTCTAAAACCCTTTCGTGTTAGGTGTCCGTGTTAAAGAACAACATGACCGAGATGTTTTTGCTTCTTTTTTTTTTGTGTGTGTGTTAGAAAATGGGATAGTCGTTGCGTACCCGTAACCCTATGCGACGATCATTGGACTTGGCCCAGTATGTGTCTGACAAGGACCAGGAGTTCGTCTTCTTTGCAAGCCGTCAGGAATTTAACTGCACACAAATAACTAAAAACCAACATAGATCAATTCTTTATTGTCTCGTTCTAATTTTCCACAATAACTTGCAGGTGAATTATGAGTACATAATTTGGTGGCTAGAGTGTATATTTCCTGGGGCCAAGACATATCAAGAACCAATGACCTGGATCTATAAAGACAAGGACCTTAAGTGATAACTATGGGATGGCTCAATTTTTAAACATTTTCCAAAGAAGAAAATAGAAACAAAGGCATTTTTTTTATGTAATAGCTCCTAACTTGGAATAATTTTCACATTTTTTTCTATTGCTAAACCTAACCTTGTTTAGTCTAAATAAAGCATCCACATTTAAAACTTGAACCTATGCGAAATTAATGCCCGGGGGTTCAATATGGGGGACGAAAGAACAAAAACCGGTACGAGACCAAAGAACACCAAGTTTAGGTGGATAAGCCTCGAGGGGTATACGGAGATCGGGTGTGAGTGGGAACACAGAGGACCCAAACCATTAAAGAAACATGAAAGTGGGAACGGAAGGACTGACCAAACATCTTGGTACAGTAAGGTTTGTTGTAGTGTAGGAAAAAAAGTGACGAGCCTTCCTTGAAAGCAAACAAAAAAAAAACAAATATTGGTTAATGGTAGGTAGGAGTAGGGTCCTTGGTATTAATTGACCACTATTCTGATGACTCAAATCATATTGTGAAGTTGTTGTCTCTATTCTCTATTTCTGTCCCCACCTTAATTACAGAAAAATCTACAAACCACTCCCACCCACGTGAGGTTTTCCTATACAAAGAAAGCAGTACCCCTACCTTCCCAAAACCTATATTTTTGGTAGAATGGACCCCAACCATGCCAAAGAATGGCTTCAAAGCACAGTGAAATGGTAAAAATGACAAAATCTCGGTCCAAGACTAGTAATTTTTGTGGTAGGCGAGAAGAAAATAAATTTGGCGAGGGGCTGTTGGATAGAGAAGTTAATGTGGATACAGCTAAGAATTCCACGACAGAGAGGGACGGAAGGGAAAAGTAAGAAGAATCCGTAGTGGAGATTTGGTTTTTTTAAGGAAAAGGAAATAGGCTGACGTGGTGGGTGACAAACAGCAAAAGGAAACAACACTATACGGTCCGGTACACAAGATATTGTATGACAGAACCGGAGTTAAAATAGAAAACCTGCCCGAGGACCACAGATTGGGATGTACGATATGGCCGGTGACCATAAAGTCAACCTTGGTTGGTGGCTGTTTTCTAACAAAGCTGATGATGGTAATTTGGCAGGGGACAACAATGGCCGTGTTTCGTAGGGCAACATGTCTTGATGTGGGATCAGGGTCTGTCCTACAAGGTTGAAAGGCAAGAGAAATGGGGACATGGGCCTCATTGTTCATATGGATTGGTTGCTACACAAGCCACATTAGAGAGAGGACTAGTTAAGGTTCGTGTTTGAAGCCCACTAACATTAACAAATACACCGAATGGGAATGACAAGTGAAGCGTCTAATTAACTATGGTTAAACTATTTTGGCGTGCTTTCTCTAACGGAACAAGAGCAAATCAGGGAGAAGCCAAAACTACGTATTGTAGGCAACGTTTAATGAAAGGAGAACAGAGATGAAAGCCTACCCCATGGGAGAGCAGGAAATTTCCGCCGCTTTTTAGAAACTACTACGATGTAAAAACAAACCTGGTTAAAAGGCAAAACGATTGAATGTTGTGGATCAGGGATAAACAGAGGTCAAACGGGGTGAAAAAGTTACCAATATGGAAGCAGCCAAAGTTGTCGAAGAACCATAAAGAATGGATGTCGCTTCTTTTTCATTTAGAAGATCCATCACATCCATGCTTCCATTTAACTTTGAAGTTTGAAGCAGCATTTGTAAGAGACCTGATAATTGACACAGATGAAATAACTCTTTTGAACATAATATAGAAGTGTTCAAGTATAACATAACCTATATTTGAAGCGACAATTTCAAATTTTAACACCTGCTTGTCCTGCACAGTGAGGGAGAAGGAAAATAAGTTCAAGCAAACTTCTTTAATATAAAAATATATCTATATATATCCCATGTTTAGGAGAGTTACCTGTAGGAAGAATCTTATCATTCATTGAAAAAAAACATAAGTTCAAAGTGTTGTTCTGTAATGAGCTTATGGCTCAAGCGTTTCAAACTCTGAACCCACAAAGCTCTGTATTGCTTTCTGTCAAAGGTTGCAAAAGCCAGTGTTCAGCTTTCTTTATCTGCAAGAAACTACGAAGTACGAACACAAGGATTATCTTTCCTTAGAGATCCAAGAAGAATCACAAACACGACATGATATGACGCGTAGTAGTAGTCCTGCGAACAGCACGAGCCTAAGCCTGAGACTTGGAGATGTTATACTCCATAGACCAGAGAGCAAAAAGGACTATTGAATCGCAATTAAGTGTTCCATCAAGACCAGTCTACAATTATGTCTGTCAAAAACCCATTCGCACCATCAATCCAAAAATCCCCCACAGCAAAAACCAATACAAAATCTACAGATTACTGGTAAAAAATCAACCAAGAACCAAACAAGTTACACAATTAAAAGAACTAAAATCAAAGATAATGAGCAATTTACGCGTAGATTGTTGGCCTTTACACAAAACCTAGAAGTTAGAACGCCAAAATCCACACCAACGACCTATAGACCAAAATGATGAGATTAAGCAAATATGAATTCACATGATACACAGAAGGAGAAACCGAAGAAAAAAAGCGAAAACGCTAAGTACTTGTCGATCGGAGGAACTTCGAGATGCATTCATCACCAAAACCAGATGAAAAGCATAAGAAAATCAGGGAGGCAAAATGGAAAAACGAATGGAAACTGTTCGGAAAGAAGAAGAATATATTGTAGGAGATCGGATCAGCAATTCTACCTGTCTCCGCTGCAAAGAGGAAATATCCGTCGACCTCTCTCCTCGATTTCGTTGTCGGTGAATTTTGAACTCTTGGAGTGGCGCCGTGAAGCAGAATTTATGGTTTTCCTTCCCTTTATACGGTTCCTTTAAATGGGCCCGGGCTTAATTATGGTTTGGCCCAAATAAGATTTTGGTTCTTCCGGCCCAAGTAACTTTTTAAATCATCAGGATGATTAAAACTTCAGGTTATTTGTAATCTGCCAAATTCACTTTTATGTCTAAATTATTTCTCACTTCATATTTCAATAACTGATGAATTAGATATAATATGAAGCGATGATACGATTGTATGAATAAATTTAAAATATAAAAATGTATTTCTAAATTGAAAATAAAATATAAAAATCCTATAATTAAACTTTTGATACGTTATCACATATTTTTTTTTCACATAATCTATAAAATGGTAATATGTTAGTTCCGCTATGTTGCATTTGAAATTTTCATTAAATTTTTTGAGAGAAAAATGGGTTACTAAAACCTGTTTTGAATAAAGTTGAGTTATTATAATGTGTGAAAAATTGATATCAAAATATATAGTAGATAATAGTTTCGATACTGAATAATATATTTATTAATTATTATTTAATTTAAAAACAAAATATTAATGGTATAATTTTGCTTATTGTTGTTACTAAATGCTATTACTGAAATATTTTTATGCATATAGTCTTAAAACTTAGACATGTTTATTAAAAATTTTGATTGGATTAATCTACCAAAACAATATAATGGGGCCTATTTATCACCAAAACCTACCGAACAAACACATACCACTTAACCAATTCATGAGAAATGGAAAGGCTAACATTAACCGGAAAAATTTAGGGAAAAAAAAAAAGAAATACACTAATAGGATTTTAGGTACCCGTATCTATTTTCTAGAACCACTTGCTTTTTAATTAAGAAAACATATATTTCTTTCACTAAAAAGAAAACATTAAACAAATTAAGATATTTTTATTATTTTTAGTATTCATATAAAATATACCCAAAGCCAATTGCTCGTGCTCGATGCCATACACATAATGCCAAAACTATAACTTGTTCATATCCATCCCTAGCCACTCCATTATTATCACATAAATTATCATTCGTATCTTAGTCCTTTTAAAAAAAATAGCCATTAACTTTTGAAAAAATAATTATTAACGATCGATCGACAAATCACAATGGTTTTTTTTTGGCATGGTAATCATTACAATAATCATTGTAAGGGATTTGATTGCTTAATCATCAACATATGTTATTGGTGGGGCAGTCATCCTCCATATAACCTTGGTCGAAATAATTATGATTTTTTTGCAAAATAAAATCTGCACCGTATATATATAGTTGTTGAACACCATAATAATAGACAAGAGAGTATAAAAAAAAAAACAAAAAGAACTATAAAAACGTAAGTGTACCATTTGTTAACAATAATAACTATATGTATATATACTCTTCATATTTAAAATATGCATGTATAACCAGTGGCGGATTTAGAAAAAAAAATATAAATAAGGGCATGGATTTTATACATATAATTTTATAAAACCAAATGTCATTTTAACGGAGATATTGGACAGTTTTCTTAGTATTTTTACAAAATTTATACACAAATTTTATTATTTTTTTAATTTGAATGAGGATCTATGCCCCCACTCCTTATCAAGTAGATCCGCCTCTGTGTATAACCTAAGTTTGGATGATCTAATGATGATTATTCAAATTCAAGTTTAGAGAGAACTATTCATCCAGACTTTTCCATTTATACAGGAGATGTAATCGGAAAAAATGTTTTGTCAACTTGTGCATTATCAAGAAAAAAAGATGCATGTGTATAATTGGATTCTAACAATAACGTACATATTTTTATACAATTCAGGTTATATTGTATTTGCACTTTTCAATTAACTATACGAATAAAACTTTGATTTTTTATTATTGAAAATAGAATATTACAATATTTATAGATAAAAATAAAAAAAAAAAAAAAAACACCTCAACTTTTCAATTTTTTCAAAAAAATATAAACTCTATTTTTTCAAATAAAACCCGAACTCATTCTTTGAATTGAAAAAAAAAATCTAAACTTTATAAAATTTATCATTTTTAAGCCCAACTATTGACCGTACACGTCGTCATATGGTGTCATTTTAATGATGATGTGGATGATGAGTATGGTTCGACCAAATAAAAAATTGACACGTATGATATTGGGATGTCGCGTCATCGACATGACAATGATCGTCAAAAAGCTCAACAGATTTTTCAAGAAAAAGCCAGTGACTGCTGGAAAATCTGAGCTGAGAAACACTGGAAAGTGTCTCGAATGCAGGGGAGTTGGTCATTGGAAAGATGAGTGTCCTAACATTGCTAAGAGAGAAGCAATGTTGAGGAATCTAAAAGATCTTCAATGTTATGAGTGCAAAGGGTATGGTCATATGAAGAACGAGTGCGCTGGTGGGAAGTCAAAAGGAAAATCTTCACTCACTCACGAAGAGTTGGAAACTGAATCTGATGAAGATGAAGAAGAAGAACACTCAAATTTCGTTGCACTCTTTGGTGACACAGAAGAACATGAGGAACAAGAAGAGGAGGTTAGTGAAGAAGATCTGTACAAAGAGATGACAAAGCTTTACGACATCAACATGAAGCTGATCAAGGAAGAGAAACAGAGTGAGTCAACAATCACTGATCTGAAGAAACAATTGATCAAAGAACAAGCGGAGAAGGAGTCAGTGACCACTGACTTAAAGAAGCAGCTGAAAGAAAAAGAAGAAAGGATCACCTTACTACAAAGTCAGTTGGATGAGACTATGAAGAAAGTAAGGATGCTCGGAAGTGGTACAGAAAACCTTGAGCATCTTCTGACGATTGGACGTACTGATTCTGGACATGCTGGTCTTGGATATACTGGAGGGAGTGCTAACAAAGTAGGAAACTTTGTATCAGGAGGAAAGCTTGGAGATGAAGTTATTTCAAGAGTAAGGAAAACTCCGAAAATCAAGATAGATCTTCATCCCAGACAGCAGTACCGTGAGCACAGGAGTTGCTTTCATTGTGGCAAAAGAGGACATATCAGAGTGAACTGCTACTGGAGGAGAAATCAGGTACTACTCGCACCAAGATGGAGACAAGTCTGGAGGAGGAAAGATATCAACAGGTGCAATATTGCTTGTACATCAGAGTTGAATTCAAGAGAAAGTCAGTGGTATTTCGACAGTGGATGCTCGAAACACATGACTGGTGACATGAGTCGACTTTCTACTTTTGAAGAAAGCAACAAGGGTGACAATGTTATATTTGGTGATGGACGAAAAGGAAAGATCATTGGAAAAGGAACACTGGACTCATCTGGACCGTCTACCCTCACTAATGTGAATGTGGTTGAAGGACTCAAGGCGAATCTCATTAGCATAAGTCAACTTTGTGACTCTGGACTTCAATTACACTTCACTAAAGATGTATGTTTAGTCACTAACTCGTTAAATGAGTGTGTGTTGACAGGAAAGCGAACACCGAGTAACTGTTATACTTGGGATGATCAATCGAGGACAGAATTATGGCATCAAAGTAGAGGGAAAGCTTACGAGATATCTGATATACTTCGAGAACCAGTCAGTGATCACTCAGATCTTGACCAGGTACATCTCACTTCATCTCAGAATTCTGAAGTGCTAGAAGAGGATATGAAAAGTGATCTTGAGCCCCCTGTTCGTCGAAACTACCTAGCTAATGATGTGAGTGGAAGTGTGAATGACCCACGACAGGTAAGGGACACACCTCGATTAAATTATCAAGATATGGCTAGGTTTGTGTGTTTTATTCCGTAGGATGAATCTATTAAGATGCACGAGGGTTTGAATGATGAGTACTACCTCAAGATAATGCATGAAGATGGAAGAGTCAGTCGCAACAAACCAAGGTTAGTGGCTCAAGGGTACACTCAAGTGGAAGGTATGAATTCGGTACCACTTTCTCAAAGAGCAAATTAGAGCGGTCTTTTGATTGAGTATGCACTCATTGAACACCAATTAGCTGATATCTTTACGAAACCACTTGATATGAATGAGTTTGTGTGTTTTTTTTTTAAAAAAATCTTTTGGTTTAGGAGAAATCTGATTTTATCTCTAATGGTGTCTATTCGAAAGTGATTTGGTTCAATGATTGTGAAGGAGAGTCAGTGATACTTGACAGGTATGCCAAGTATACTTCAAAAAAAAATGACATGGGCATCCCCTGATACTCCTCTGTTGACTTAGTACTCCTGAATGACAAAAAAAAAGGAGGGAAAAGAAGGAAAAGAAAAAAAAGAGAGTGATGAAAAAGGAAAAGCATGGGCATCCCCTGATACTCCTCTGTTGACTTAGTACTCCTGAATGACAAAAAAAAAGGAGGGAAAAGAAGGAAAAGAAAAAAAAGAGAGTGATGAAAAAGGAAAAGGAAAAAGAAAGAAAAAGGAAAGGAGGAAAAGTTGATATGAGTAGATTGGAAAATTGAATCACTCGGGTCTAAGTTGAACCACATGCAGTCTATACGATGGTCTAAGGGCAGATGATATTCATGCATCATACTCCGCTGTAATTTGAAACATTACAAGAGTATATCTCAGTGAGATAGTCTGGACTTAAATGGTGAAACTTGCATTCTCGGTTTCAACGTCCTAGAAGTTCAGGAGAGAAAAGTCAGTGAAATATTCGGTGGAAAGTGAGGTATTTCTGACTTAACTGATCAAGCATTATACTCTAATGATCTGCTGAATGATGTTATTAGATTTAAAATTTGAAAGATCCTAATTAATCTCGCATGTGTTTTCATTTGATTTTCAAAAAAAAAAATATAAACCAGATTTGAGTTGAGTGGTGAAGTAATGACTAAGTTATTGGACAATGTGGAGCTGAAAAATCAGAGACTTGCAATCAATTTTGTGATGAGAAAGGAGGTGACGCTCATATTATCCTACTGCGAGTGTTGTTTTTAAGTGTTGAACAGAAAAATGGTGAGACAAAAGGTGTGCACTCCTAGATCCAAGAGGAAGATTCAAAATTCTGCAAGCCAGGTAAGTGTCTTAAATCTCTTCTCACTCAAGATTTTGGATTATTTCATACATGCACACAGGGGGAGAATATGAGACGATAATGATTCTATCAATGGAAGTGAGAACGTACTGGAACAAAAGAAAAAGACAAGGTCAAAGTGGTCAGAGTTACTTCAAATTTAAGTCAAACTTGTCTGAGTGAATGTGGAAAAATGTGTTGTTAAGTGAATCAAAGTCAAACATGTCTGAATCATGATGTGAATCCTGATGCGAAGTTGTGCTGAATTGAGAACATTTTTATGTGTGTGTGCATGATCTGAAATAACCAAAAAGGGGGAGATTGTTAGTGCAATTATTTGCACATGTGTTGTTTTGGTTGTTAAGTGGATAATGCAGGTTCAGGAGAGAAATCCGACGAGATACAACTCGAAATATTTTGAGGTAAATCTGGAGAGTTGGAGTAAAAGTCAAAGACAGATTGAGATGGACTCAATGACAACCACTTGGAGAGATTTTAGGAAAAGCAATCTGAAGAGATATAGCCACGAAGTTTGGATTTGACTTGAAGAGATGAAGATAGAATCAAAGCCAAGAAGATTTGAGGAGATTTGAGATAAAGATAAAATCTTGGAGATAAGGTCAAAGGCTGAAGAGATAGAGTCAAACAAGAGATAAAGATGAGATCTTGGAGATAAAGATGAAATCAAAGAGAATCAAGGAGGAGTCTATCAAATCAATTCGTGGAGATCTAAGGCGAACTGGAGGAGCCTATATAAAGGAGAGAGCAAGTGCATATCAGTTCTAACGGAGAGCAAAACATATTTTATTAAAAGAGTTTTTCTGTTAGTGAGTGAGCACTCGCTTTTGAGTGAGTGTGTGTATGAGAAAGAGACCGATTGGACAAATCTCTTTTCTCTGGTGAGTGTTTAGGCGTGGATATGAGGGGGAGACTTAATGGAAAAATCTCTATTCCTTTGGTGAGCGTTTGAGCTGGTAAAGTTTTTGATCGGTAGAATTCATTGTGAGAGAGAGTTGAAACTCATGGGGAGTTTCATCTGGGTGTTGAGTAGCTCTAACAAAAAGTGAGTTGTACTTGACTTTTTCTCAAGTGAATAGAACTGGTTAGTTTTTCCGTTTTACTCTTTGAGGGTCCAAACTTTTTCAAAAATATAGAATAATATCAAATCTAAACATTATATAATATTATTATAATCTTTTCAAATGGTTTCTATATCTCTTTAAGTGTAATATTCTTCGTATAGAATAACCAACAAATCAAATTTTATAACAATATATATTAAGCCTTTTGAAAATATATATTCGGATACTTAAGTCTTGTTTTGTTACATAGAAATCCACGGGTAATCTGTCGATTCTATTTCAAGTGGGTCGGTTTTTTTTTTATCGAATCTGTCTGAAAGAAATAAATTGCGAAATGTATTAGAACAACGCAAAACTACGACTTTGGTGGTAAATACTGCTTTAACGGGTCTATGGTCAGATATCTTCGATTCCCCTCTGGTATACACATGTTGCTTCAGTCCATCTCCGTACCAAATTATCCGATCACACCTATATATATGTAATAAAAAAAATATAGTTTTAAAAATGTTTTTATATAAAAGATAAATTATTGCAGATTATTATAGTATATTACTACTTACCATGCCGGAGCTCGTTTTTTCTCTTCTTTTCTTTGTTTAATGCATCCATAATATATATCCGAATTCGGAATATATTTATACGTTGGGGCAAATTTCACATTTCCTTCTTTCCATCCTTGTAATGTTTCGCCGTTCATAATCTCCATTCTTAGCTTCATTTTACAAAAATTTTATATCAATAAACTCACACACGAACTCCAAATTTTATTAGCATTTTAAAACTATATATATATATATATATATATATAATATTACCTGATCGTTTTCAATTAAGATGTTCCATTCTTGTTTTTCTACCAACAATCTTGTCTTCTCCTCTGGCAAGGAAATTCTATAGTTCAAATCTCCAAGTAAAATCACTCGGCTTCGTTTTGATCCAAATAAAAAAACAAGAACACGTTCTATTAGATGGTTATATTAATATATCAAATTATACAAAAAGTTTGATAATTTTTAACAAAAAAATCTAATTTTTTTTGTCATGAATTACGAGGTTCTAAAGTCGGCAGGTCAACTTGCTTAATCTACGTGGATTTCTAACCGATTTTTGAATAGTTTCGATGCTTTCGGTTGCTTCAATATCTACATTTAACTATTAACAAGTTGGAAATCTTTATCTTATTCGTGTGTGTTTTTTATAAATATAATTAAATATAGATAATAATAATATTTATATATATAAAAAAAAGCTTACTCATGATCAAGAATCTTTTTGGGCAAATCAAGAGAAGGGCCTCGGGGGAAACTCGATCTTGATAAGATGTCGGCGACGTCGGAGTTTCTTTTCTTTCCGTCTTTGTCACGTCCACCGGAGGCCAGATGGCCGCATACGAAGCAAAAGCTCGTCTCGTGCAATTTATACCTGACTGACACCGCTCCCTGATTATATATTCTCTCAATCAATTTAATAAACACAATAGTAAATTCTATAAATTAAATTAAAAAAAACCCTAATGAAAACTACAGACAAATCACTAAAACAAAATGCAAATATTTCTCGTTATATTCATAATATATATATATATATATATATAAGCTTACCTTGTTTCCTAAACAACCCATGACCCCACATCCAACACATGAGACGCTAGGATGACTGATGAACGGCCGGAGATCATTCCGGACCCAGACGGAGATCAATATTCCGACCATCTGTTTGCTTATGACACACCGGAAATCTTGAGAAATACCGTTAATGCCCTTTGATTCTGACAAGCCGCCTTCTTTTTCAGTGCCGCCAGTCTTCTCCTGGTGACGACGTACTACTCTCTTCTTGTTCAGAGCCTCTCTTATCATCGAGTTCCATTCCGCAGAAACTTTGTTGTTCTCCGACCCGAGAACGCTTGAAGCTCGCAGAGGCACGATCTCTTGAAACCTTAGTTACGATTTCAGACAACTCAGATAAATAATCATGCAATATAATTATTTCGTATAATTGTATATTGTATATTATTAATTACCCGAGTACGTATATGTCACATGGGGTTTTATTTGTTTCCAGTAGATCTTCCATGTCAAGCCCATCATCCGGGGCGATGCCACCGACGTTCCATGTGCTAACAAAAACTCTATGATCAATATTGAACTTCACGAGTTAGGTCTAATTTAAGTTAGATTCTCGTTGAACATGAACAATAAATATTATGAGTTCATACCGTGGCTGATACTCATATATATATATGATCCATACATACAGATATAGATGCTAAAAGAAAATCATAGGATATTTAGTTAGGGCATCATATATTTGACGAAATTCATATGATATGAACTTATTATATGTGAGATGGATGAATATTGTCATATACTTGTAGTCGTGTGCGATCTTTCGAGGATCAAAGAAAGCGGGGTTGGCTGAGAAGGAAGGCCGCTCGTCTAATATAGAAGCTTCTAGAAGTTTCTCTGAGTTGGTCGGGAAGTCGGCGACGAAGTTATTGCTCCCGACTCTCTTCCTTAGAATCTTGTTGGCCACCAGTCTTGGCCACATGACCTTTTATCAACACAACAAAGAGTTCACGTCAATCATAACCAAGTTGTCCGCACACAACCTTATGTTCTTAAATATATAAGAGGGCTCAATATGAAGAACTATAGTACTCACTTCTCCGTGGCTTCCCAACATTGGGAGATGAGAGAGAGAGAGAATGAGCAAGAGAGAGAAAGTTAACTAGACATATTGGTAGACAGATAGATAATAGATAGATAGAGAGAGATAGAGAGATTACGCAGAAGCCATGGCATAAGAAGAGATTATTTGGAGAAGGAGATATAGAGAGAGAGAGAACCAAGAACGGCGGGAGAAAGAGGTGAGAGAACGATTATTAGGACATGTTTATTATTAAATTTTCGAATTTTCTATTCGGTCGGTCGATATATTTTTTTAAGAAGAAAACGTTGGACGAAACGAAGGTTGCTGATTGGTCATTTATGATCACTGGTTGTTGGACCAACTAGGCATCAGCCATCACATAATTATTCATCCTTAACTCTCCCACTCTTCTATTTTAAACGCTTCAATTGGTTCTACTCATTTTTTTGTTTATAAATTAACATCTCAATTCCGAATACGTTTCTTTATTATATTATCGTACGTGGACACGAGCCAACTTGCTATAATTTATAATATTTATAGCATTATTAATCACCACTATAAATTAAATACTTTTTTTAAAACTCAAGAAATTCCCCGAACTTTCGAACCGACTACATCTACCAAGATCCGGAGGCAGCTTGTGTACCACAAATGCGGACCTCCGTCCCCAGCCCACGGCTCGAACATAGGACATGTGACAAAAACACTCCACTCTTTTCAACCATTTATACCATTCGGCTATGACCTTTTGGGATAAAAAAATTAAATACTTCTAACTCATTTATGATCGTTTTCTGAATTTATCTGTGTATGCATGTGTAATCTATCATGAAATATTGTAACTAAGGCTTTGAAGATTAATTAACCGTTGATTAGTGAATTAATAAATGCAATTAAATACATCGTTTTTTGCTGGTGGAAAGAGACAGAGATTTGGGTATTTAATAGAGCGGCGAGATTCCCGGCACTTGGGAATTAAGAGACCACAAGGACATAGGCCGAGATTTTGCGGCTTTGTTTATTATTAATTAATAATTAAATGTTGATTGTAGGATAATTACTCATCTAATCTTAAACAAAAAAGGGTTTGGGCTTCAAAGGTCAAAGATTCCAGATGGGTTGTTGCCTAATTAATTGCAAGTAATTTAAACATCGATATATATATACACACACATATATATACATGTTAACCAGAGTTAAATTAATTATTATTTTTTTTTCCGGTAAACTCGTATATATTTATACTGTCCATGTACAAAATACAAGAGTTTGTTACATCATGAGTAGAGCAAAGTCAAAAGGATGTAATGCAATTACAATGGATCAAAGTAGCAAAACCAGACAGTAAGTGCCGAGTCGCCCAGATTAGATCTCGCCAAATCAGTTTTGAGAGAGGAAATTTTACGCCTAGTGTACCGGAGGATGTCTTTGCGAATGATGTCAGCAGATCGATGTGGTGATCCATGTATTCTAGCATTCCTTTAAAACCAAATCATGTAGACCGTGGCTTGGAAAAGAAGCAGAGTCATGAACTTAAGCAGAGTGTTGCATGTGCAGGTCTTCAGCCAATAGTAATTAACCGTTGATTAGTGAATTAATAAATGCAATCACTATATATTATTTTTCAAATTTGGATTTTCTTATCAATATTGTCTTCTATTTTATTTTCCTCATACTTATATGTACATATAGCATGTCCTTGTATATACTAAATAGTGTACATGAGTTCTCCTTATTTAATAGTGAGCTCCCGAAGCTTCTCCCCTCGATTCAAAAATGATAAATTAAGACTCAAAGTTGTACGATTTGCATAAACTATTGGCTGGTCGGTGCGCGCGCACACCCACCCCCACGTTTCTGATTTAAAAGTACATACATACATACATACATACATACATACATACATACATACATACATACATACATACATACATACATACATACATACATACATACATACATACATACATACATACATACATACATACATACATACATACATACATACATACATACATACACTAACTGGAAATGAGAGTAGAAAATTTTTTCTAGTTATACGAGTACATTTCATTGAGTCAAATCCACACACGCACACATATTTACGTATACAACATATATACATATATATAATATTATAATTGTGTGTATGTATGTGTGCGCGCGCTTTGTGGATGAGTATATAATTGTGGGTTCGACCGGTGACATCGAGACAAATGTTAATCGATAAAATCATGTCATACGTAAAATCATTGGAAAACATTCCGTATAGTATATCAGGAAAAATACATGTATCATTGTGTATATTAAAATTTAATTATCAAAGTATGTATTGTGTGACCAAGAAAAGTACAAATATTTTAGTAGAAAGAACCAAATGTATTCATGAAATGTGATACTTTTCGGCGAAAGATCGATATTTATCAATATCTTCAATGTTTTTAAAAAATATGTAAGTTGTTAAATGTGGGTCGCTTAATTTGCATTAGCAAGTAATTAGTGGTTAAACTAATGACGATAGATTAAGTTGTCTAATCCTAGAGGACCATTTCTCGCATGTTTTCAGCCGTTGGACATACGAGAATAGTGACCGTATTTGAATTTCTTTAATTTGTCGGTTAATCTTGATTTTAAAATTATAATCAGTCCTTATTTAAGAAAATGCTCAATGGATTGCGGTCCAGCTCTCAACCATATTTACGATTTTATGCAAGAGAAGGTTATAAATTTACGATTTTTTTTTAAAAAAATCATTAAAGACATGTTATATCGTCTGTTTCTTCGTCCAATGCGAGATATAACAAAGCGTGGTCCGATATCTATATATGACCACCCGACCAATTGGCATCGGGCATTTGTTGTGCCTTTTTAACGTCACAGTTGTCATCATTTTTTATTGAGAAAATCTAAAAAATAAACAGTCAACTTCTCAAATTTGAAAAAAAATATTGAATTTTATTTTTTATCAAATAAATATTAAAATTTTTAAACGAATCTAAAAAACACTGAATTTTTTAAGTGAGTCAAAAAATACATGAATTTTTCTGAGATTATAAAAAAAACTTTGAACTTTTTTAATGATCCAAAAAAATATATGAATTTTTTTCGATTGTAAAAACAAACTAAGTAAAATAATTTGATGAGTCTTATTGTGCTGTATCAGTCATTTTGTTTATTTTGATAATTATAGAAGAGTTAAGTGTTTATTTTATCAAACTTAAAAAATTTAATATTTATTTGATAAAATAAAAAAATTTAGTATTTTTTAATCAAAATTTGAAAGTTCTAAGTATTTTTTTTGGGAATTTTCTCTTTTATCTTTTTCTGTAATTGTTTTTATACTTTTTACTCTTTTTATAACCCTCACAGGACAGAAGTATGACAACAATTTAAACATCTTGCAACATTTGCACGTTATTTTTTTATTTGAAAAAAATACTGGGCACGATGAAGTATAATAATTTGAAGATTTCAAATGATTTGCCGTAAAATTTTATGCGAAGTAATGTAAATAGAATTTTATGTTTGGTAACTTTGCAAAAAAATAAATAATAAATGTTTGGTAAAAGAACATCAAATTATATAATATACATACCTTTTAAGGCTAAAAATAGTAACGGTGGGTTTTTGGTCAATTTCTGTTCTACCCTCAATATGCTATATCAACATCCAATCATATCTTGCTCTTTAAAAAAAAATTCAACTTCTATTATACACTCTTAATATGTAATGACTAAAATGAGATATTATCAAAAATACTCTCCATATGCTATTTTAACTTCAACTCATACCCTTCTCCAGTTGTGACCATGTGACCATAATTACGGTTTGGTCACATAGTGGTCACATTATTCATAACATTAAATTTATACTGTTCACACTACTTCACTATGTTCATCCCTTACGTATCAAACTAATTATTTGATAAAACTATTATAATTTTAATGTTATAATCAATGTGACCATCATGTGACCAAACTATAATTTTGGTCACATGGTCATAACTGGTTAAAATAGCATATGAAAGGTATTTTTGATATAATGCCGACTAAAATACCATCTTATATTTATATTTTTAGGAAAATCGTCAAAAAAACCCTATACTCTTTCCAATTCGATGAAAAACTCCTGTACTTTTTTCGTTACTAATTAAACCATTTATTTGGTGTTATTAGCTCATAAAACTCCGAACTTTTTAAAAATTCGCAGAAAAACTCAAACAAAAATGATGAAATGACAATGACATGGTCTCTAAATCATGCACATATCATCATAATTATGTCACATCATCATTTAAACAAAATTTAAATTGAATAATTTATTTAAATTAATATACATACATACAAATTCACACATACATATATATATATATTAAAAATAAAATTACTTATAATTAATAAAACACATATATATACATACAACATATATATATATATTATAATTAATATATATACATACATATATACGTATTAAAATAAAATTAATTATAATTAATTATATATATATACAACATATACATATATAACTAATATACATATTAAACTAAAAGTAATTATAACTAACATATATCCATAGAATATATATATATTAGTTATACATACAATATATACATATACATATACATATACATATACAACTAATATACATATTAAAATAAAAGTAATTGAATTAACATATATACATATATATATTAAAAATAATATGTATATGTATATATATTAGTTATACATACAACATATATATATACACAACTAATATACATAATAAAATAAAAATAAGAGAAAATCTTCCAAAAAACCTTGTACTCTTCAGATGTTGACAAAAAAATTCTATATTTTTTATTATAAAAAAATACTATACTTATACTTATTCGTCAAAATATACTTGTACTCTTCAGATGTCAAACAAAAAAATCCTGTACTTTTTTTTATTACCAAACAAACCCTATACGTATACTTATTCACCGAAATATATATGTACTTTATAAATTCTAACAAATAAATCCCTAAACGTAAACGCAAAAAAAAAGCGGTAAAAAATCTATTCGAACCTAAACCAACCGATATATACCCAAACCAAATCGAACTGATTAAAATAACATACCACATTGGATATGAATATTTCAAATCCGAAATAACCGAACCCAAAATAACTGTAAAACGAATAAATCGAACTTGAATTAACCGTAACCGAATATAACCGTTTATCTACCAATATCATCAATTAATATCCAATATATTCTAAATTTAATTCAAAAAATTAATATAATGATACTGGTTTCACTCGAATTTGAAATATTTATATCTAATATAGTATATTATTTTAATCAGTTCGATTCGGTTCGTTTATTTCGGGTTTAGTTATTTCGGATTTAAAATACTCATATCCAATGTAGTATATTATTTTAATCGGTTCGAGTATATATCGGTTGGATTAGGTTCGGTTAGATTTTTTACCACATTTTTTTGGCGTTTGCGTTTAGGGGTTTATTTGCTAGATTTATAAAGTATATGTATATTTCGACGAACAAGTATAAGTATACGGTTTGTTTAGTAATTAAAAAAATACATCATTTTTTTGTGTAACATCTGAAGAGTATATGTATATTTCGGCGAATAATTATAAGTATAAGATTTTTTTGGTAATAAAAAAGTATAGAGTTTTTTTGTCGACACCTGAAGAGTATAAGTTTTTTTTGTCGATTTTCCCTAAAAATAATTATAACTAATATATATTATATATACACATATGAATGTATATATGTATGAATACATATATATATATATATATATATATGTTGTACATATATATGTGTTTTATTAATTATAAATAGTTTTATTTTTAATATATATATATATATATATGTGTGAATGTGTATGTATATATTAATTTAAATAAATTATTCAATATAAATTTTGTTTAAAATGATGATTTGACATAATTATGATGATGTGTGCATGATTTGGAAGACATGTCATTGCCATATCATCATTTTTGTTTGAGCTGTCAAACACGGAGAGGTTTTCGACAAATTTTTAAAAAAATCGGGATTTTATAGGCTAATCACACCAAGTATGCATTTAATTAGTAACAAAAAAGTGGAAGGTTTTTTTATCGAGAAAGAGTATAGTGTTTTTTTGGCGATATCCCCTATTTTTTTAATAAAAAAAATTTTTCCTCCTAAAATCTAGGGTTTTGTTTCTCTCTCCCCTGTTTTTCCAGTTTCTCTCTCTTTCCTCTCTCTCGTCAATCTCGACCTCTCTCTCTCCTGCACTTTCTCTCTCCTCTGAAACCTTCAATTGTTTCTTCAAAATCATTAGAAATCAAAGCAAAATCAGTACGGAATTAGCGAAGAAGTTGGAAATAGGTAAAAAAATTTAAAAATCTTATTCTTTGTGGGAAAATCGCATATAATTTTTTACAAATATTTCAAATAAATACCTGAACTATAACATTACTAAATAAATACATGAACTATTTAAAACTTCCACATAAATACCCAAACTTCTAAAATTTTTCCAAATAAAACAATATTCATTGACGGTAAGTCATCAATTACCGACGGATTCCGTTACAACTTTAACGTCGTTAATGAATTTTGGTTTTATTTGGTAAATTTTTAAAAGTTTAGGTATTTATATGGAAGTTTTAAAAAGTTTAGGTATTTGTTTGGGAATTTTATAGTTCACATATTTATTTGGGAATTTTATAAAAGATCAGGTATTTATATACGGTTTTCTCTAACTTTTTCATGCTTCTTCCATTTTTTTCTTGTAATTGTTGATGTTTCTGAAGTTTTGTCTTTTGTATTGTAGTATAGTATAGTTATAGATCCGAGGTCGAATCTGGGTTTTAGGTGTTATTTTTATATCATTGTGTAATGAGTCATACATGTAACCTATTTTTGAAGTTTAATGTATCAGTGTGTAATGTCACAATGTACACACTACACACAAAATCATTAGTTACACAATAGTCGGGTCACAATAGACAGGAGTTGGTGACATGACCACACGATGGTCAGCATGAGTATATATGGGTCACAATGTACACACTACACACAAAATCATTAGTTACACAATAGTCGGGTCACAATAGACAGGAGTTGGTGACATGACCACACGACCACATTAGTCATGAGTCATTAGAATAACGGTTTGCATAGGTCACAAGGATGATATAGTACTATGTTCACATGATACTATGTTTACATGGTCATAATAACGGTTCACATAGGATGATATGATACTATGTTCGCATGATACTATGTTTACATGGTCACATGGTACTATGCGAACCATGTGACATGGTACCGCATCTTCACCAGGTTTAGCAACAGATTCTTTGTTAAACATTCTTCGACTGCCTCATATCCTCGTCAAAAGATTCTTCGACTGCCTCATCCTCGTCAGCATCGCTTTCACCCCATTAGCATTGGTGTCATCTTCTTTTTTCGTGTTCTCATCCTCTTCTTCGTCACTGCCAACATCATTTTCAGCTGCCTCGTCCCATCATCGTCACTATCATCGTCTTCAGCATCTTCTTCGTCATCCACATCTCCTCCATATTTGTTATTCCCTCCCGAAGGTTTTTCGGGAACATCTCCTAAACAAAAATCAAGATATACACTTAGATTAAACTATGTGATCCTACAACTTAGTACCATGTGACCCAGTGAACATGGTACCATGTGACTGGGTAAACATAGTGCAATGTGATCAAGTATAAATACTTACTTCCTACTTGCGCGATGACAGTAACCACCATTTTGTCCAGGGGAGATCTTCTACTGTGCATCTTACGCGATGTATCTTTCTCCTTAGACGAAAGTCATTTCTCCTTAGATGAGGGTTCTTTCTCCTTAAGCAAGACCTCCTCCTTCTTGGCCGAGGTCTCCTTCTCCTGAGTCTTCTCTTTTTCAGACCCCATGGAGTCACATCTCTAGGTCTTAACTCATAATCTCCAACATCTTGATCATAATATTCCCCGGTTCCCACATAACCAAAATTAGGACTTGTCGTAAATTATTCTTTCTCTACTCGATTTTTTCTCAAGTTCTCCTGCACTGTGGCCCTTGACACAGATCTGTCCTTGTCTACTGGATCTGTCCCCAAGTTCTCCTGACTTGTCATAAATCCCTCTTTGTTCGTCGGACCTGTCCTAAGGCTCTTTCCCAATGAGCCCGACCTCCTTTAAAAGGCCTTTCACGACATCGATGATTTTGATCTCGACTGTTTTTATTTCGGCCTTCAAATCGTCTTAAGTGCTTCTAGACTTGACAATCCCGCTACTCTTTGTCGTTTTCATTGTGGTTGGAGTCTTTGTTGCGGTAGTTGTTGTCGTTGTTGTTGTTGTTCTTCTTCTTCTCGTCGCTCATCCTCTATTTCTTCTTCATCTATCAGACTTTTTCCCTTCTTCTTCTTCTTAGAAGACTTTCTGGAACGAATTTCCAATTCATGAATTTTCTTCCAGTATATGCTTTTCGGATTCCTGTCGAGATATTGCATCCAAAACTTAAATCTGTACTTCCATCAAATTCTTTTAGATAAAAAAGAAGTGCTTCTTCTATCGATCTATTCTTTAGTATACTTTTAATTCCTGAAAATAGTTACTATATGCAATCATGTAACCATGAGACCAACAAAACATGGTACCATATAGTATCATGTGACCATATGAACATAAAATCTATGACCATGAAACCTGTAACCAAGTGCACATGAAACCTCTAGCCAAGTCATATTTTGTGCATACCTTTGATTAAGTGTCAATCTTGTTTATTTACTCTGTTGAACGTCCATCTGACATTTGATTTCATTGACTTCTTGTACATCCTGGGACACGTCGGATCCGTTTCGTCAACGTCTTTGTACATTCCTTTGGCATCCAAGTTCGAGATACATTCGAAAGGAAGCAACTGCAATATAATATTTAAATATTATATCCCAATAAATGATCAAGTAATAAGACAAATTTTAATTAATACATGTATTGAAAATCACTTACCATAAGAGGTATTATAAACCACCGATGGTACATTTTTTTTCTGGTTTACTTATGAAGCTTTTTTTACTTGATCAATCATTTTATCAAATGTATAACATCATCAGACAAATCTTTCGCAGAAATTCAAATCATCTACCATGTCCACCAAATCATGGTTTATATACTTATATGTTGTGGCATGATCCGATATTCCTCCAAACAATATGACAATAGTCAGTTTCTTCCGATCAAGCTCTTCCGATCAAGCTTTCCTTAGATATCTTTCGCTTTTCAAAAATCTTATCTCTGAACTGGTTTTTCCTTATATATTCCCATCTAACCGGATACTCACCTCATATGAGAGCGTGCTCGACGATGGAGTATCTGGTGGACACTCCATTTATAACAAAACATAATTCTTGCAGGAGAACTTAGGGACATATCCGAATGCCGCTGAAGCCATCTTCAACATATCATCGAATTGCATGTGAAACAAGTGTTAGAATTGCGATTCATTACTGAAGTAACACCCGAAGGTAAAAAACACTCGAAGAATGGAGATACTTCAGTAATGAATCGTATTCCAACACTTGTTTCACATATAATTCAATAACACGTTGAAGATGGCTCCAACGACATTCCTCATAAACTATGCTGTGAGTGTAGAAGACGATAAGGAATTATGGCTTGTTATAAATGGTGTGCCTATTAGATACTCCATCGTCGAGGCTCTTATTTTCAAATTAAAATGCGGTGAATATCCGGTTGGATTAGAATATATGAGAAAAAACCAGTTCAAGGTCAATTTGACAACCCAGAGTACCGTAGGAGGGCGGGGAGTGATCGCCGGTGCAGAGGCACGGACAAGGGGCGACTCCTGACGAATTTCTGGGTAGGGGGTACAGGGATGAATTGAACACACCAGAATGAGAGAGATCCGAGGGCTATATAGGTATGAGACTATACAGTCTAAGATAACATAAAAAGAATTAGTTGAGCTACTTATAGCAACAAGGTGCACATACCTTTTTGGTTGACTATCCCGAGAGAACTCCAAAGTTAAGCGTGCTGACTCTGGAGCAATCTCAGGATGGGTGACCTACTGGGAAGTGTCTCGGTATGCATGCGAGTGAGGACAAAACATGTTGAAAGGTCTTGGGTTGCTGTGTGAGGGCAGTTTCGACAATTCGTAGCGGCCTCAGGTCGTTACAGTCAAGACTTTTGGAAAGCGAAAGTTGTCTAAGGAAAGCGTGATAAGACAACTAGAGAAGACGTCAAGTCAATCGGAAGAAACTGACTATTGTCATGTTACCTGGAAGAATATTGGATCATACCACAACAAATGAATATATAAACCATGATTTGGTGGACATGTTAAATGATTTGGATTTCTGTGAAAGATTTTCCTAGGGACGTCATACATTTGATAAAATGATTGATCAAGTAAAAAAAAGCTTCGCAAGTGGAACACCGAAGAAAAAATGGCATTGTCGGAGGTTTATATAATACCTTTTATGGTAAGTGATTTTCACAAGTATTAATTAAAAGTTGTCTTGTAATTTGATCTTTGTTTTGAGATATAATATTTAAATATTTTATTACAGTTACTTCATTTCAAATGTATCTCGAACTTGGATGCCAACAGAGTGTATAAAGATGTTGACGAAGCGGATCCGATGTGTCTCAGGATATGCAAGAAGCCAATCAAATCAAATGTCAGATGAACATTCAACACTGTAATAAACAAGATTGACACTAAACTAAAGGTACGCACAAAATAAGACATGGTAAGTGATTTTCACAAGTATTAATTAAAAGTTGTCTTGTAATTTGATCTTTGTTTTGGGATATAATATTTAAATATTTTATTACAGTTACTTCATTTCAAATGTATCTCGAACTTGGATGCCAACAGAGTGTATAAAGATGTTGACGAAGCGGATCCGATGTGTCTCAGGATATGCAAGAAGTCAATCAAATCAAATGTCAGATGAACATTCAACACTGTAATAAACAAGATTGACACTAAACTAAAGGTACGCACAAAATAAGACATGGTCATTTGGTCAAGGTTTCATGTGCACGTTACAAGTTTCATTGTCACATGGTCACAAGTTTTATTTTCATATGGTCACATGGTATCATGTTCATATAATCATATGATACCATGTTCAAATGGTCACATGGTACCATATTCAAATGGTCACATGGTACCATGTCACTCGGTCACATGGTACCATGGTCGGTTGGTGTGATGGTCATATGGTCACATGATTGCATATAGTAACAATAAATGACATTTATTTTCAGGAAATTAAGAGTATACTAAAGAATGGAGCGATAGAAGAAACACTTCTTTTTTATCTGGAGGATTTTGATGGAAGTACAGATCCAACGGTTAAGTTTTGGATGCAATATCTCGATAGGAATTCAGAAAGCATATACTGGAAGAAATTCTATGAATTGAAAATTCATTCCAGAAAGTCTTCTAAGAAGAAGAAGGGGAAAAGTATGAGCGACGAGAAGAACAAGAACAAGAACAAGAACAAGAACAACAATTACTGCAACAAAGACTCCAACCACAACAAGTACTATAAGGGAGATGACAAAGAGTAGCGGGATTGTCAAGTCTAGAAGGACTTAAAGACCGAGTTGAAGGCCAAAATAAAAGAAGTCGAGATCAGAATCAATGATGCTGTGAGATGCCTTTTAAAGGAGGTCGGACTTGTTGGGAAAGAGCAGGAGAGCCTGAGGACAGGTCTGACGGACAAAGAGGGATTTATGACAAGTCCCACACTGCAGGAGAACTTAGGGACATATCCGGTACGTAGACAAGGACAGATCTACGCCAATGGCCACAGTGCAGGAGAACTTGAGGAAAAGTCTAGTAGAGAAAGAAGGATTTACGACAAGTCCTCATTTAGGTTCTGTGGGAACTGAAGAATATTACAACCAAGATGTTGGAGATTATGAGTTAACACCTAGAGATGTGACTCCATTGGGGTCAGAAAAAGAGAAGACATAGACACAGGAGAATGAGGCCTCTCCCAAGGAGAAGGAGACCTTGCTTAAGGGAAAAAAACCTCACCTAAGGAGAAAGAGCCATCATATAAGGAGAAAGATCCATCGCGTAAAGATGCAGGTACAGTAGAAGATCTTTCTCCCCTGGACAAAATGGTGGTTACTATCATCTCACAAGTAGGAGAACTTGGTCATTTGGTCACATGGTACTATATTCATTTGGTCACATGGTACTAAATTGTAGGGTTACATGGTCACATGGTTTAATCTGATGAGTATATATCTTGATTTTTGTTCAAGACATGTCCCCGAGGAACCTTCGGGAGGGAATGACAAATCTGGAGGAGATGTGGATGACGAAGAAGATGCTGAAGACGACGATAGTAACGATGATGGGGACGAGGCAGCTGAAGATGATGTTGGCATGACGAAGAAGAGGATGAGAACATAGAAGAAGAAGATGACACCAATGCTGATGGGGGTGAAAGTGATGCTGACAAGGATGAGGCAACCAAAGAATCTTCTGACAAAGATGAGGCAACCGAAGAATCTTCTAATGAGGATGAGACAACCGAAGAATCTTCTGACAAAGAATCCGTTGCTAAACCCGGTGAAAATGCGTTACCATGTCACATGATTTGCATAGTACCATATGACCATGTGAACATTGTACTATATGACCATGTAAACATAGTACCATGTGACCATGTGAACATATTACCATGTCATCCTTGTGACCTATGCGAATCGTTATTCTTATGACCCGTGACTAATGTGACCATGTCACTATGTGACCATATGGCCATGTCACCAACTCCTGTCTATTGTGACCCGACTGTTGTGCAACTTGTGATCTTGTGACCCGTGTGCAGTGTGTACATTGTGACCCATATATATCCATGTTGACCATCGTGGCAGGTTATCTATATGACCCATTACACACTGATATTCTAAATTTCAGAAATAGGTTACCTATATGATCCATTACACTGTGGTACTCTAAAAACAACACCTAAAACCCAGATCCGACTCGTATCTATTACTATACTATAGTACAAAAGACAACTTCAGAAACATCAACAATTACAAGAAAAGAAGTGGAAGAAGTATCATTGTTCATCAATTGAATCCCCACAACCATCAATGTGCATGAAAAAAAATAAGATTTTCACAATTACTTACCTATTTTCAATTTCTTCGCTAATTCCGTACCAGAGTGAGAGAGATCCGAGGGCTATATATGTATGAAACTATACGGTCTAAGATAATATAAAAAAATTAGTTGGGTTACTCATAGCAACAATGTACACCTACTTTTTGTTGATTATCCCGAAAGAACTCCAAAATTAAATGTTCTGACTCTGGAGCAATCTCAGGATGAGTGACCTACTGGAAAGTGTCTCTTATGCAAGAGTGAGGACAAAACACGCTGAAAGGTCTCGTGTTAGTGTATGAGGGTAGTTTTAACTTTCAGTAATGGTCTCGGGGTGTTACAAATGGTATCAGAGTTGATACTCTCCTAATACGGTGTGGTTCGATGAAAAACCAGGTGGAAACTGGTGAGCGTGTAACGTCCCGAGTTAGGATGAGGGTGAAGAGTGATCGCCAGGGTAAGTGGTATGGACAAGGAGCGGCTCTCCAAGTACTACTAGGTTAGAGGGGTACATGAATGAATCGAAACATTAGAATGAGAGAGATATGAAGGCTATGTAGGTGGAACTGCACAGTCAGGATAACTTATACGAATTGATTGAGCTACTCATACCAACAAGATGCATCTACCTTTTCAGTTGCTTATCTCGGAAGAACTCCAAAGTTAAGTGTATTTGATCTGGAACAATCTAATGATGGATGACTTACAAGGAAGTGTTTCTCCATATGCATGCGAGTGAAGATAAAAACGCTGAAAAGTCTCGTGTTGGTGTGTGATACCAGTTTCAACTTTCGTTAGCGGCCTCGAAACGTTACATAAAATACTAAAATATCTCGTGAAACATTCTGTAATGGTCTCGCGATATTACAGGTATAATGCTTATTTTTTTTATTATTCGGATACCAACCCAAACCCGAACTCGACTTTCGGGTTTTAGACATATTGTTATAAGGCGAGTATCCGATTTTTGAATATCTGACCCTCTAACCGGGATGGGTATTTGAAATTTGGATATTTTTATCTGACCCTCTGACCTGGCCAAGCCCGCACTAGGCCCGAGGCTCGGGTCGATCTGACTTTTTTCGGATCTAAACAATCAAACTCGAAATCCAACCCTATAGATTTTGGATTTGAGTTCGGACTGCCCCACTAAATTTATTCTTCGAAATTTATTTTTGTTGAAAAAAATTCTAGGCTTTCGGGTCCGAATCCCGATTTAGCCCGACCCGAAAACTCAAAAATTTTCGGACCAAGATATTTGTGCTTGAAACCCGCTATTTTTTGGGCTAGATTAGGGTGGGGTTCCGACCAAAATTGACACCCTACTATAAATCCAAACCACGTAAAAAAGAGAGAGAGATAGGTGAGACATTTCATATATAACTTTCTCAAAGATGGTAGATGCTTCAACTTTTGCGTATAAATTTCATCCCAATCTATACCAAGTTTTTTTTAAGGATGTTAAACGGATCAACCCGACCTAACCCGAGTCAGTACTCAGTTTGAGGGTTTCAAGTTCGAGCTCACGTTAACCCGAATTTTTTCGGACTTATAAAACCGAGTCCAAATTCCGAAAAGAGAAACTTACTTGTATGTTTGCTTTCTCCCCTCTTGCTTTCTTTGGACCAAAGTCAACCACATGAGACCTTTAGGAGGAAGAAGCTACACATCACTAAACGATCAGAACAACAACAATGAAAATCTAACAAGCAAGTGTTCTACGAGTTTTTGAAGCTTATAACAGCGATGAAAATCTAACAAGCAAGTCTAAAAGACTAAAACTTTCACGAAAACAGATCATCCGAAGTATAAAAAGGCAGCATGGTCATAATAATAATAAAAAAAACTAAAACTTTCTCGAAAAGGTAAAGGTAACACAACAGAGGGAGTTATATGCTTATAGAATCTGATGTCAATTCCTTGTTGAAAATCAGATTCTAGAAGCTAACTGAGTAAGAAGACAGTTCGGCTTGCCTTGAATTTTGAAGAGAAGAAAGAGAAGTACCTAGCTTCAGATATTGTCTCCCTCGGCAGATGTTTTCTTAGCAACAAACTCAACCCCATGAAAATCTTAGGTGGAAGAAGCTATGCATCAATAAACGGTCATAACAACAGCAATGCAAATCTAACAAGTGTTCTAAGAGTTTCTGAAGCTTTTAACACAAGGCAAATAAAATACAAAATATATTCATTTTCAATATATACCAAGTTTTGTCAATCAGATTCTTGTTGGTTCCTAATGTACATCCGGTTACAACTCAACCACATATCATCCGAGACATAAAAAAGCAGCATAATCATGATCATTAAAGAAACAGATTAAAACTATCCCATAAAAGAGAGAGTTACTTAGAGGGTGTTTGCCTGTGGATCATCATATTCCAGAAGCTAACTGAGGAAGAAGAAGGCAGGTCTCCTAACAAAATAAGAAATTGAACTTTGAAGAGGAGGAAAAAGAAAAGTACCCAACTCCAGATATCATCTTCCTCTGCACATGTTACCCACATGTTTGCTAATCAACCCCATCAAACCGTAGGAGGAAGGGGCTACACACCAATACAAGATCAAAACAGTGATGAAAATCTAACAAGCAAGTGTTCTACGAGGTTCTGGAGCTTTTCAAAGAGGGCAAATAATATGCAAAACATATACACTCTACATTTAAGTAGTATTGCATTGGCAATAGAGACGAATTTGAGGAAATCATCGTAGTGTACCCTGACACGTTCTTGTTCCAGTCTATCAAGGCCACACTGTGAATCAAAAGGAAAGGAAAAGAGGACCTGATCAACACGGATCTTGTCATCGGGCATGGCAGCGGCGCCGCGGTCGAGGGGGGTGATGGCGTCAAAAAGGTCTTGATTGAGCGTCTCGGACTCTTTTCGTCAGAATCGCCTGAAAGTAAAAGAGCCTGGAGTTTTCAGCCTCTTGCGGTCATCGTCGGTTCGGACACTGTGCTGTATCCTTGTCGGCACAGCAAACCCAGTGTCCCGCTTCGCGAATCTGTGATGCCCTGAAACAGGTGACGTGAGAATCTCGGTCTTGAAGCATGTGGGCAACGCCAGAGGCATCTGCGATTCTTCTGGATTAATGGAGACGATTCGCCGGAAAAACTGCAATTCTTGATCGATCTTGGGCTCCGCTCCAATCTCGAAATTTGAATTTTGAAACCCAATGCCGTTTCTGATTATGACTGTAACTCTCTTTTTAAGATAAATAGAGAGGAAATGTTTACAGGCACTACTAATTTTCATTTATTATTTTACTGGATGATTTCATTTACCACGTCATCATAGTACCTCCAACTCCAACGGCTAGTTGATTTCGGCTCTTTCCCACGTCATCATATTTGCTCTGAAGCTTCGGACTTGGAGAAAGGGTTCGATCACGCAGGGATTTGGAGAAGCGACATGTTCTTCTGTTGAACAGACGGAACTCTGACCCATGTCGGTTTTCCCTTCCGAAGTCCGTTTCGTACGAACCGAACCGACAGGCGCTCGAGAAGATGTATATCAAACTGAAGAAATCAGGATTCAGAAATGGAGAACCAAGGATACATCTCTATCGTCCCCTTTGATTAAAAGGTAGAAGTGAGTTTTAATGACTTCGACAACGATTTCTTCGACTTCTACATATTAAGAAAACGTGAAATGGATGAATTTATTTTTTATTACGATTTTATATTAAAATATCATAAAATTTCATCCAATTCTACTTTAAAAAAAATTGAAGTGTCTTTGTATTAAAATCGATTCATGAGTGATTAATCACGTTAATTCTTGAAAGTCTGGCAAATGAAAGAGGGAATATCTATATATAAGACAATGTGGGGACAACAAAATATATAAGTCAATGTAATTAAGTATATCTCATCATAGAGATGTATCCTTGGAATGTGATCCAAGATTTATTTCTTCTTAAATGTATTATGTTAGGTATTTCATTGTATCATATAGTTTTTATTTGCTTTAATGTGATCTGTGTTGGAAGTTTTTCTATAACTGCCCATATTGAAAAACTCTACGTTAATGACTAATGGTCCAATACTTTACTCAATGTTAACTGCATGATTAACTATCAAATATCAGTTTTTTCTGATGGAAAAAAAACTATTAAAAGGGCATAAATCTGGATCCCTAGACTAAGTAACAGACATAACAAATATATCATCGTTTGCAATTGCTATAACTTAGAAGAATTCATATTTCAACTCAATAATACTCAATGGCTGGAGGTATGTTTTTCGGTTCAGAATTTTATTTCCGCATTCATGATCCATGTTGATTTTTTTTGGTAATGGGATATTCTGAAATTAGACTAATTCCATGGCCGAAAACCAACCATTTAATTTGGATTATACGTTTCTTCTCCAAACTTTATATTCGAACTTGAGATGAGACACACGCTTTGCGTTTCTATTTCACCGGTTGAACAACCCAAGTATAGATCATGTTGATTTCTTTTGAAATATATGTGCTAGGTATACAATTGATTCCAAATATATTTCTTTCCAAATATATTAGATTCTTTCTTATTTAGTGAAAAAAAATTCTTATTTTAACATTTTGAATAAAGAAAAAAAACTATAAATAAACTCGCGCTTCTCTCGTATACAAATCACATGCATCGAAAAAGTATTTCGATCATGCTATTGGATCTTACCATACCAAATTATTTCTCTAAAACAAATAGTCCTTGAAAAGAGGAAAAAACGTTTTACCAAAACAAACAAATAGTCATTAATAGAAAAAAACGTATATATATACATCAAAATTTGTTTTTTTTTCCATCAAAAGAAATATTTTCATTTGTTTTTTTCTAAATAAATTATAATTATAGTCTATCAAACTCAAACAAAATTTTAAAAAGGGTAATCGACGGAAAATACCATAGTTTTTTCTATTCTCAGTCTACCTATATTTTTTTAGTTATAAAATACTTTTACAATTAGTTTATCCCAAAACAAATTATATATTTTTAAATTATTATCCAAAAAACTCTTACCATCAAATAATTACCACATTGACAAATAGAAATACTATGCGGTAGTGAAAAATTTTAACCTCTCTAAATTACCGTCACTTCATCACCAAGTAAGAATAAAATTAAAAATTAATAAATTAATAAAAAAATAAAAAATTAATAAAAAAATAAAAATAAAAAATTAAATAATAAAAATATACACATACATATACATATACACATACAAATATACATATATACATATACATAACATACATATACATATATGCATATATATACACATACATATACATACATATAAACACATATATATACACATCAATACATATATATACATACACTTATATATATGTATACATATACACACATATAAACATATAAAACACACATATATATATATCAATACATATATATACATACATATACATATATACACGCATATACATATGCATATATATACTCATATAGTCATATACACATACATATAAACACATATATATACATATAGCAATACATCTATATACATACACATATATATACATATACATACATACATATACATATATATACACACACACATATTATATATATATATATATATATATATATAATATGCATACACAACAACGATGAAAATCTGATAATCAAGTGCTCTACATATTTTTGAAGCTTTTAACATTGGGCAAAATTTATACATTTTCAATCTATAACAAGTTTTGCCTGACTTCTGAATCAGATTCAAGTAGGGTCCTCTTCTACTTTCTCTTACTGCTCAACAACAGATCATCCGAAGTATAAAACGGCAGCATGATCATAATCATAAAAAAAAGGATAAAACTTTCTCGAAAAGATAAAGGTAACACAAAAGAGAGTTACTAACAGGTTATTTGCTTCTAGAATCTGATGTTAATTCCTTGTTGAAAATCAGATTCTTGAAGTGAACTGAGGAAGAAGATAGTTCGGCTTGTCTTGAAATTTGAAGAGAAAAAAAGAGTACCTAGCTTAAGATATTGTTTCCCTCGGTAGATGTTTGCCCCTGTTGTGTTCTTTGCAACAAACTCAACCCCATGAAAACCTTAGGTTGAAGAAGCTAGCAGAACAGCAGCGATGAAAATGTAACAAGCAAGTGTTCTACGCGTTTCTCAATTTTTTAACACATTGCAAATAATATGCAAAATATATACATTTTATATCTATACTAAGATTTGTCAATTTCTAAATCAGATTCTTGGTTCCTAATCTGCATCCTGTTATAACTCAACCGCAAATCATTCGAAGTATAAAAAAAGCAGCATAATCATGATCTTTAAAGAAAGAGACCAAAACATTCTCTAAAAGGGAAAAATCCAATATAAGAGGGAGTTACTTACGGAGTATTTGTCTGTTGAACATCATATTCTACAAGCTAGCTTGGGAAGAAGACATATGCTGGCCTGGCTCTCCAAACACAATAACAAATTCAAGTTTGAAGAGAAGACATATGTTGGCCTCTGCAATTGTTGCCCTGATGTTTGTGGTCTCCCCTGTTGGCTTACAACTCAGCCACACACCATCCGAAGTATAAAATAAAATCAGCATGATCATGATATTTAAGAAGACCAAAACATTGTCGAAAAAGGAAAAATCCAATACAACAGAGTTACTTACAGGGTATTTCATATTTGTCTGATGAACATCATATTCGACAAGCTAGCTTAGGAAGAAGACATATGTTGGCCCGACTTTCCTAGCACAAGAAGAATATTAAGTTTGAAGAGAATCAACAACAACAACAACATCGCCTTAATCCCAAGTTTATTTGGGGTCGTCTGCATGAATTTTTCTTTTCCATTCATTCCAGTTTTGCGTCATATTCTCCGATATTTGAAATATATCCAAGTCATTTCTAATGACTCGATGTCTAGGCCTACCCCTTCCTCGTTTCTTCACTTTCATTCTTATACTCTCTAATTTTCTAACCAGAACATCTAGCGGTCTATGTTTTATGTGTCCAAACCACCTTAAACGTCTCTCACATAATTTCTCTTCTATGGTTATGACTCCTACTTTCTCTCTAATACTCTCATTTCGAATTCGGTCTATTCGTATGTTCCACATCCATCGCAACATCTTCATCTCGACCACACATATTTTGGACACATGTTGTCCTTTCGCCGCCCAACACTCATTACCATACATCAATGCAGGTCTTATGACATTACGATAGAATTTCTCTTTCAACCATATAAGAACTTTACGATCGCAAAGGAACCCCATGTCTTGTCTCCATTTCATCCATCCCACTTTTATCCTGTGACTAACATCTTCGTCACAACCTCCATCCTTTTGAAGGATTGAGCCAAAATATTTAAAATGTGTGTTTTGAGGTACTAATACTCCTTATAAGTTAACTCCTACATTACTAGAACGCCCCCCACTAAAATTGCAATGCATATACTCGGTCTTCGTCCCACTAAGCCTAAAACCCTTAGCCTCTAATGTACTCCTCCACAACTCTAATTGTTCATTTACTCCTTCTCTAGACTCATCTATTAACACGATGTCGTCTGCAAACATCATGTACCACGGTACTTCCTTTTGTATATCTTTAGTCAGCGGTTGCACCTTCATACATATCCTTCAATACTTGTATGTATCTCACGGATACTCCTCTCCGCTCTAACACCCACCATAAAACCTCTCATGGTACTCGATCATATGCTTTTACCAAGAGAGGTTTGAAGAGAAAAATAAAATAAAATTACTTAACTTTAGATAACGTTTTCCTCTGAAGATGTTGCCCTAATGTTTATTTTCCTCTGTTGTTTTCCTTGAAAAATATCAACTCCGTGGAAATATTAGTAGGAAGAAGCAACATCAATACAAGATTAGAACAACAACGAAGAAAATCTGAAAAGTAAGTGCTCTACACGTTTCTGAAGCTAACATAGGGCAAATAAAATGCAAAAAAATTTCAACTTTTAATCTATACAAAATTTTGCCAACTTCTAAATCAAATTCATGTAGGGTCCTCTTCTACCTTCCCATACCACTCAACAACAAATTATCCGAAATATAAAAAGCTAGCATGATCATAATCATAAAAAAAGGACTAAAACTTCCTCGAAAAAGGTAAAAACAACACAAAAGATTGATAGAGGCCGGGTTCGTTAACAACATGCCACGCATGTGATATGAGATTCATTGAATCTAATATTGTGGTGTTTCTCTAGTCGGTTATTTTGATGCCAGCTCATCATTTTGGACTAGGGTTAGAATATATAAACTACAGATATGAGAGGGGTTTTTCATGTTTTGGCTTTTGGTAAATGTCTGGGTTTTTTGGGGAGAGAAGGATACTCTCAATAATCAAACCGTTATCTTGTGTTGGGTTTTGATATCAATACGTAAGAATTACTTTGGTGTTCTTATCAAATTGGTATCAGAGCAGACTTCGATCCGGTTAAAAAAAAATGGAAGGCCATGTTCAAAGAATGGAATGTTTGGACAGAATGGAAGAAATGCTGAAGAAGATGTGTGCGATGATGGGAATCGAGGTTCCGATGGAGCAGACACCAAGCGACGCTGGCGAGCCTACTGTTTCGGTAGAGCCGGAATCGACGATAGTGAAGCACAAAGCAGAAGAGGAGAATCTGCAATCAGATTCAGCTATGAAGATCGATGCTGCAGAAATAAAATCAAGTTTCTCACCGATTGTTGATGATCCTGTCGCACCGGTGGCAGATTTGCAACCGGATCGTGCTAGTGAGTTGAAATCGACGACGACAGAGGTGACGGTCATGCAATCGCAGCGGAAAAGAAAGGTTTCGATGAAGAACAAAGTAAGAGTTGGGAATATCCAGCGACATCGGATGACACAAATTTCTAAGGATCATCATTTGCCACCGAAAAAACCTAGGGCGCTGGCTGTACTGGAAAAGAATCGATTGAAGCAATTGGTCGGTCAGGCTTCTTGGTATCTACAGAAGAAAGAGAAACCAGTATTTGACGAGGATAAGGTGAGCCGATTGATTTCTCGAGATGAAATTTTTTTTGAGTTTGGCGCAAAAAATCTGAATTTAGAGTTGAAATTGTTCGTCGATCGTTTGCCGAGCAACGATGACGCAGCAACAGTTCCGGTGACGGTGGAAAACAAACTAGAAGTAGAGATTCTACATCCGAAGTTGCAAAGGATACTGTCCGCCGAATCGCCGTTGGGAGATCGACAACAGAATTCGATGGGGCGGTTACCAAGTGTTTGTGAAAATGCTCAACTGAGGGAGATGGTGTTGCTCAGCGCTGGTGAGCCAGCGGTTTCGGTGGGGCTGGAATCAATGGTGGTGAAGGACAAAACAAAAGCAGAGGATCTGAAAATGGAGTTGAAAACGACACCGATCGGTAAATCTCCGATCGACAGCGATGTAGTCCTGAAGACTCGAGACATGGCCGAAGAACAATATACGGAGTCAAAACAGAGACAGATTACAACGGCTGTGGTTTCTGGCCATTTCACTGAATATGATTCAGATTTGAAAGATCCTGGTGGAGGTCAAAGGAAGCCGTTGAACGATGGTGATTTTGGAAGGAAGGCTCACTTGCCCAAGTCAGTCAAATTTGTGTTGACAGATATAGTCAGGCTATATCAGAGAAATTATAAGTATTTTAGTGACGAGGATGGAGAGAAGGAGCTATATGCGATGATGAAAACCAGAGATAAAGGTCCTAGACCTAATTCCGACTCGAACGCGATGGAGGACCAGGCAACCGAGAATCGTGATTCGAATGTTCTGCTCAGTAAGTCGCATCTCAATCACCCTTTAATTTCACCTGCAGCGACAGCGACCGGTAGTTCGAAGTCTAGTGTGGGTGTCGAGGAAATGTCGAATATCCAGAATCGATATGTGGGAACATGTGCATCCAAAGTTGTGGGATGGATCGCTTGTGCTGGACACCATTTTGAGTTGGGTGGGAGTTCTGATAGAGGAAGACATCGGTTGGTTTTGATGAGTGCTGGTGGAAAAGATTTGCAGGGGTTTAACTGGCAGATAAATAGAAAGTGTTTTCGTGATTGGGCTGATTTCAAAGCAAGATTGTTAGAGCATTTTGGGAATGTGAATGTTGGTTCAACAAGTGATATGCTACTCTCTTTGTGCCCAATTCAATCTCTGAATGAATATTTCCAGAATTTTGAAGAATTGTCTTCACAACGTGGTGGCAAGCCCAAATTGACTATGTGTATTGATCGAGATCAATATGCATTGTTACAAATGGGAGAAGCGAAGGAAAATCAGAAGAATAAAGCACATAAAGATTATGAGTGTGATCTGACCTGGAAGACACCGGCAAAGAAGAATTTGGGTTCTCAACACTTTAGGGAGCTTAAAACGATGGATTTCCTTGAAGATGCGATTCAGTTTTTAGATGACGTGGAGCCACTACATCAACTCCGTTCCGACATTGGTCACGTGCGGGATTCACAGACAGTGACTCACCGTAACTTTGTCATGTCTTACTATCAAATTCTTTGTCTAACGACGATGGAGAATACAGTGTTGGAAGAGGATAAGGTTAGTGAGTGGATTGGTCGAATTGAAACTTTCTTCAATACTAGTTCTGCCAAAATCAATGTCGGTGGGAAGATATATCAGGCTCGAAAAGTCAAATTTGTGGTGTCGGTTTATATAAGAGAAGCCAATGGATGGATGGTTAGACTCAGAGGTGCATATATGGAGTACTTCGATATGAGGGGGAATGTCATATTGGACAGATTGTTGACCCTGTTAGGTATCCTTATGATTGGACTCCAAGTCTGTCTTCACGGAATCGTTGTTGGAGCTACTGAACAGCACAGCAACATTGGCTCAACTTTGAGAAGGTTTAGCAGATTTGACAGGACAAAGTTTCGCCTAGATTCTAGAGGTATGATTGGGAAAGTATTGATGTTGTTCAATGAGCAGAAACAAAGGGGAAAGTGCCAGGATTGGGAGATTTTCCGACTTCTATTAAGTGGCGGTCTAGCTGAAATGCAATCAGGAAGGGGAATAAGAGAGGAAGAGTTGGCTCGTGTAGTGGAACATGATGCCATGGTTAACAAGGAGACTATAGTGTTGGAGAGTGGAACTTATTGGACTGCAACCGCACTTGTGGATGATTTAAAAATTCTGGTGCAAACGTGTTCGGGCCATCGTCTATGGCCGAGGAGGAAGATGGGTGCTAATGCAGCCTTCAGCCATCGGCTGAAATTTTATCGAAGTCATTTTGCCATTGTTAGCTTTAGCCAGTTTGTGGCTTCAAGGTTGCGTCTTCAGCTTGGGGACAAGCTGAATCTTTAGGGAGGGGGTATTGATAGAGGCCGGGTTCGTTAACAACATGCCACGCATGTGATATGAGATTCATTGAATCTAATATTGTGGTGTTTCTCTAGTCGGTTATTTTGATGCCAGCTCATCATTTTGGACTAGGGTTAGAATATATAAACTACAGATATGAGAGGGGTTTTTCATGTTTTGGCTTTTGGTAAATGTCTGGGTTTTTTGGGGAGAGAAGGATACTCTCAATAATCAAACCGTTATCTTGTGTTGGGTTTTGATATCAATACGTAAGAATTACTTTGGTGTTCTTATCAAAGATACACCTACTGACACGTTATTTGCTTCTAGATTCTGATGTTATTTGCTTGTTGAAAATCAGATTCTAGAAGCTAACTGAGGAAGAAGACGGGTCGGATTGTCTATCCTAACAAAATAAGAAATTGAATTTTGAAGAGAAAAAACAAAAGTACCTAACTTAAGATGTTGTCTCCCTCGGCGGATGTTGCCCACATGTTTGCTTTTGTCTTTCGCCCCTATCGTTTTCTTAGCAACAATCTCAACCCCATGAAAACATTTGGTGGATGAAGCTACAAATCAATAAAAGATCAGAAAAGCAGCGATGAAAATCTAACAAGCAAGTGTTCTACGCGTTTCTAAAGCTTTAACATGTGGAAAATAATATGCAAAATATATACATTTTCAACCAAGTTTTGCCATATTTTAAATCAGATTCTTGTTGGTTGTCCATCTACTTTCTGTTACAACTACACAACATATAATCCAAAGCATAAAAAGAAAGCAGCATGATCATGATTATTAAAGAAACAGACCAAAACATTCTCGAAAAGGGAAAAATCCAATACCAAGAGAGTTACTTACGGGTATTTATCTCTGTAGAAAATCATATTTTAAAAGCTAGCTTTCGAAGAAGACAGATATTGGCTTGACTCTCAAAACAAAATAAGAAATTCAATTTTGAAGAGGAAAAAAATAAATGTACCTACCTTAAGATATCGTCTCCTTCTGCGGATGTCGGTGTTTGCTGTCTTACCTGTTGTTTACTTTGCACAAATATCAACCGCGTGGAATCCATAGGACGAAGAAGCAAATGTCAATACAAGATTCCATAGGAGAAGAAGCAAACATCAGTACAAGAACATAACAAAAACGATGAAAAACTAATAACCAAGTGCTCTACATGTTTCTGAATCTTTTAACATTGGGTAAATAATATACAAAATTTATACGTTTTAAATCTAGATCAAGTTTTGCCTGACTTCTGAATCAGTTTCATGTAGGGTCCTCTTCTACCTTCTTTTACCGCTCAACAACCAATCTTCCGAAGTATAAAAAGGCAGCATGATCACAATCATGAATAAAAAAAGACAAACTTTCTTGATAAGGTTAAGGTAACACAGAAAGAGAGTTACTAACAGGTTATTTACTTCTAGAATATAATGTTAATTCCTTGTTCAATATCAGTTTCTAGAAGCTAACTGAGAAAGAAGGCAGTTCGACTTGTCTTGAATTTTGAAGAGAAAAAAAAGAACCTAGCTTAAGATATTGTCTTCCTCGGCCGATGTTAGCAACAAATTCAACCTCATGAAAACCTTAGGTGGAAGAAGCTACGCATAAATAAACGATCACAACAGCAGCAATGAAATATGCAAAATATATACATTTTCAATCTATACCAAGTTTTGTAAACATCTAAATCAGATTCTTGTTGGCTCCTCATCTACTTCCTGCTACAACTCAGCCACGTATAATCCGAATCATAAAATGCAGCATGATCATGATCATTAAAGAAACAGACCAAAACATTTTGGAAAAGGAAAAAATCCAATACACGAGGGAGTTACTTACATATGTTGGCTTGACTCCAAACAAAATAAGAAAATTAAATTTTGAAGAGAAAAAAGAGAAGTACCTAACTTCAGATATTGTCTCCCCCGTCAGATGTTGCCGCCCACGTGTTTGCTTTCGCCCCTTTTGTTTTCTTTGCCACAAACACAACCCAAGAAAACCTTAAGTGGAAGAAACTATCAGAATAGCAGCTATGAAAATCTAACAAGCAAGTTCTCTACCCTGAAGCTATAGGGCAAATAAAATGTAAAAATTTTTCAACTGTTAATCTACACAAAATTTTGTCGACTTCTAAATCAAATTCATGTGGGGTCCTCTTCTATCTTCCCATCAAATCACTCAACAACAGGTCATTCGAAATATAAAAAGCCAGCATGATCATAATCATAATAAAAGACTAAAACTTTCTCAAAAAAGGTAAAGACAACACAAAAGAGACACCTACTGACAGGTTATTTGCTTCTAGATTCTGATGTTATTTGCTTGTTGAAAATCAGATTCTAGGAGCTAACTGGGGAAGAAGACAGGTCGGATAGTCTATCCTAACAAAATAAGAAATTGAATTTTGAAGAGAAAAAACAGAAGTACATAACTTAAGATATTGTCTCCCTCGGCAGATGTGGCCCACATGTCTGCTTTCCTCTTTCGCCCCTTTTGTTTTCTTTGCAACAAACTCAACCTCATGAAAACATTAGGTGGAAGAAGCTACAAATCGATAAAAGATCATAAAAGCAGCGATGAAAATCTAACAAGCAAGTGTTCTACGCGTTTCTGAAGCTTTTAACACGTGGTAAATATATGCAAAATATATACATTTTCAATACGTACAAAGATTTGCCATTTTCTAAATCAGATTCTTGTTGGTTCGTCATCTACTTTCTGTTACAACTCAACTATTTATAATCTGAAGCATAAAAAAAAACAGCATGATCATGATCATTAAAGAAACAGACCGAAACGTTCTCAGAAAGGGAAAAATCCAATACACGAGAGAGGTACTTACAGGGTGTTTGCCTGTGGATCATCATATTCCAGAAGCTAACTGAGGAAGAAGAAGGCAGGTCTCCTAACAAAATAAGAAATTGAACTTTGAAGAGGAGGAAAAAGAAAAGTACCCAACTCCAGATATCATCTTCCTCTGCACATGTTACCCACATGTTTGCTAATCAACCCCATCAAACCGTAGGAGGAAGGGGCTACACACCAATACAAGATCAAAACAGTGATGAAAATCTAACAAGCAAGTGTTCTACGAGGTTCTGGAGCTTTTCAAAGAGGGCAAATAATATGCAAAACATATACACTCTACATTTAAGTAGTATTGCATTGGCAATAGAGACGAATTTGAGGAAATCATCGTAGTGTACCCTGACACGTTCTTGTTCCAGTCTATCAAGGCCACACTGTGAATCAAAAGGAAAGGAAAAGAGAACCTGATCAACAAGGAGCTTGTCATCGGGCATGGCAGCGGCGCCGCGGTCGAGGGGGGCGATGGCGTCAAAAAGGTCTTGATTGAGCGTCTCGGCCTCTTTTCGTCAGAATCGCCTGAAAGTAAAAGAGCCTGGAGTTTTCAGCCTCTCGCGGTCATCGTCGGTTCGGACACTGTGCTGTATCCTTGTCGGCACAGCAAACCCAGTGTCCCGCTTCGCGAATCTTTGATGCCCTGAAACAGGTGACGTGAGAATCTCGGTCTTGAAGCATGTGGGCAACGCCAGAGGCATCTGCGATTCTTCTGGATTAATGGAGCCGATTCGCCGGAAAAACTGCAATTCTTGATCGATCTTGGGCTCCGCTCCAATCTCGAAATTTGAATTTTGAAACCCAATGCCGTTTCTGATTATGACTGTAACTCTCTTTTTAAGATAAATAGAGAGGAAATGTTTACAGGCACTACTAATTTTCATTTATTATTTTACTGGATGATTTCATTTACCACGTCATCATAGTACCTCCAACTCCAACGGCTAGTTGATTTCGGCTCTTTCCCACGTCATCATATTTGCTCTGAAGCTTCGGACTTGGAGAAAGGGTTTGATGACGCAGGGATTTGGAGAAGCGGCATGCTCTTCTGTTGAACAGACGGAGCTCCGACCCATGTCGGTTTTCCCCGTCCGAAGTCTGTTTCGTAAAGACCGAACCGACAGGCGCTCGAGAAGATGTAGAAACCGTACTCCCCACTCGCGATCATGTCCCCTGCTTCTTTCTGGTGGTCGCGGATGACGTCCTAATAGCTTCTGCTTCAAGGAAATCAACACCCGAGTTGTTGCAATCGATGTTAACGTTCTCTTTAATGTCTCCGACAACGATTTCCTCGACTTCTGCATATTGAGAAAACGTGAAATGGATGAATTTATTTTTTATTACGATTTTTTATTAAAATATCATAAAATTTCATCCAATTCGACTTTAAGAAAAAATGAAGTGTCTTTGTATCAAAATCGATCCATGAGCGACTAATCAGGTTATCCCTTGAAAGTTTGGCAAATGAAGGAGGGAATGCCTATATATATAAGACAACGTGGGACAAAAAATATATAAGTCAATGTAATTTCATATATCTCATCATAGAGTTGTATCCTTGGAATGTGACCCAAGATTAATTTCTTCATAAATGTATTATGTTAGGTACTTAATTGTATCATATAGTTTGTATTTGCTTGAATGTAATCCAATGTTGACTTCTTATACAATCTATTAGGTTTTATGTATTTAATTTTGCTCGAATGTGATCCATGTTAAACCAAATGATCAACCTCGACAAGACCAAGCTCAGACTCAATCTCCGATCACTCACCAAGGTTTGGAACAAGCTCAAATATGCATCAATGATCACATGGACGAAATAGGACTGGACTATGGAGCAGAATGGTTCAGCCCATGGGTTATTGTACAATCTAAAAGCGTTATTTGGGATCTATGACTTCATGGTGATAATGTGGCAGAAATACGTGTAAAGTGTACTCAAAGTCTCGGTTAAATCCGTGGATAGAAAACTGATCATGTTTATGATCGGTAGATATCAGATTTCAACGGTTCAAGTTGAAGATATCGGAAATATATCGAACATGGTGTTTTGGACATAAAGAGAAAACTTTATGTTGTCTTATGTCTTGTTGGTTGAAAAACCGACGATAGATCTTTTTTCGATTACGATTGTATAGACGTTTTTCGTTTGAAAAATGAAAATATATTATAGTTTGGTCTAAACTATAATGTTGAAGACATTCGGAAAAAGAAAGTTTTTGTTTCTATAAGTTAATCGCAAAGAATAAGATCTTTGGAAATGGTATGTATATATTGTACAATGATGAAAAGACATACATATTAAATCATAGCTATGTGAAAAAATGTTTGTATATCGGTCATTTTGTGCAAAGGAAAAGGTTGACGGAATATGTCAATATTATGTTGCACAAAATAGTTTAGGGATGGAAATAAAACCTTATTGTTGATTACAAATAAAAGGATCTCTACTCAACATCTAATACAATGTTAGAGTTTGAGTTCAAAGAGTTAAACCTTTTATCTTGTGATTGAAAGCACGCAAATAAAAATCATCCCAAGGTCGGTGCTTTGAATTGCAACGTAAAGGAGGCTGGAGGTTTTCCTTAATAGATCTTTTGAAAAAGTGTCGAGTTGCACGACATGATTTTTGTTAAAAGATCTACCTATATGAATGCGAAGTTTGGCCGCTAAGAAAATGCTTTAAGGTTTGGCGTTTATGCATTCATGAAGGGGATATGGACATATGGCCATATAAAAGTGTCAAGGTAAACAGAAACTTGTATTAATTTTGTGTGTGTTATGTACTCGGTAGCTCAACAGAATTACGTGGGTTCAATCGTTTTTGACACCTATGGAATTCGAGTTATTGAAGTATATTTCACTACGTAGAAGTTCAATCGTTACGACACTTTCACTTATGCACAAAATTGGAAACTGTTTGAAAAACACTTGGTTGTTTCAATCATTTGTTGTTTACTCTAAAATAGTGGAGGATTGTTGGTATTTTAGAGTAAACGGTTGATTGGTTTGAATCTCTCCAAAGGATTCATGTTTCACATGTATTACAAGTATGGTGGAGGAGCGAAATGTTTGTAAAAGACGTGTCATGAATTGGCTAAGTTATTAAGGATTTGTCAGAAAAGTTTACGTTCGGTTTTGAATGTGAAAGGTGATCTCAGAAAAAATGGGATGGCAGCTCGAAAACATGGGCGGACAGCCTGTTTTTTCTGAGCAGTTTGAATGAGCGAAAAATCGCGACCGTTCGAGAAAAACTTCCGATTTCTTTGCACCTTTCGACTTTTGGAGTGTTTATAAAGACACCTGGACATCCTAACATGATATAGAATAGATATATGATATCTAATTCATTGTTTGAGAGTTTGAGTGTTCTTGCGGATAGTTTTTTTGCATAAAAACTATCCCAAGGGTCTTTTTATTTTTGGTTAAACAAGGTTCTGTTTGATGATTGTCGGAAGGGTAAACCGAAATCATTGTCGCTTCATTGTATCTCAAAAGTGTATTCCTGTAATCCCATTTACCGGGTAGGGATGAAATAACGCTTTTGGAAAGTATATCACGTCTTGAAGTCATATCCGGTTTCCTACTATTTCATACGTGTTTTGATAGGTTGAAGACAAGATTATCAGATCAGATTGAAGTCGTCATCTTATCGGGTACGTATGAGTGTTTGTTATTTATTTAAATTCCTACAATCACGTGCATCATGAATCCCATGAGATAATAAACCAATCAACCGTTTACTCTAAAATACCAACAGTTGGAGGATTGAACAATCAAAGGAGAGGGAAAAGGCAACAAGATATCTGGACTTTATTTTTATTATGTATTGCCTAATTGAATGATATACTTTCTATATTTTCATATCATTGTATCTTCTATAGGGCCCTTTATAGGGTTGAATAATTTGTCGGCAATAGACACGTACAGGAGAAACAATCTCCGATGAGTATTTTATATCTCTGCTTCTAATCTCCATTGTTAAAATTCAACAACCCACTCTCAAATTCTTTCAATCCACTATTGATTTCTTCATTTAAAATGTATTAGGTTAGATACTGAAATTTGTCATATAGTTTGTATGTTTTGAATGCTATCCATGTTAAGTATTTAATTGTTTCTTAAAGTTGTATTGTCTGAATGTAAACGAATACATACATATAAACACATATACTCACACAAACAAAAGAAATATTTCCATTTGTTTTTTCTAAGAAAATTATAATTATAGTCTACCAAACTCACACAAAATTTATATAAAAAAAGAAGCATGAGGATATCTGTCGTGATTGGTGTGTGTGTTTTTCTATGCATATTGAAGAGTGGTAAATGGAAATATTTCTTATTATCTTTATACTTATTATTCGGATACCAACCCGAATCCTAACTCGATTTTCGGGTTTTAAACATATTAAACCTGATTGATTTTTAAATCGTTACAAGGTAGGTACCCGATTTTCGGATATCCAACCCTTTGATCGGGATGGGTACTTGAAACTTAGGTTTTCTATCTATCTATTTTGTATTTCTAATTATTGACCGAAGTCTAAATGTAATACACCAACACGAGTTCTTTCAGCATGTTTTGTCCTCACTCGCATACATACCGAGAATCATTTCCCAATAGATCATCCATCATTATATTGCTCCACAACGAACACGCTTAATTTTGGAGTTATCTCAGGATAGACAAGCGAAAAGGTACATACAACTTATTGTTATGAATAGCTCAATTAATTTTTTTAAATTATTTTAGACCGTATAGTCTCATACATAGACATCTCTCGGATCTCTCTCATTCTAGTACATTCAATTTATTCATATATACCTTAGTGGTACTCGGAGAGCCGCTTCTTGTCCGTGCCACTTGCATCGACGATCACTCCTAATCCTCATCAAAGCTCGGTATATCATAGATCCACCAACTTCCACCAGTTTCATCCTCGATCCACACCATATTAGAATAGTACCAGTTCTGATTCCATTTGTAACGCCCCGAGATCACTACTGTAATACCCCGAATCCCAAAACAAATATTTAATTATTTTAAAGAATAAATAATTAAATAAATGAACACGAATAATAAGTCCGAGAGACATATGGGATCAAAAACGTTCAAAAAGACCTAAAAATGAATAAAAGAGAAGCCGAACTAAAAATCAGGCCAAAACAAGTCAAAATGGACGAACAATCGCACGAAAACACATTTTCAGGACTCCGGACCGACCGGACCAGAAAAACGAAGAAAACGAACAAAATATGTGCCTGGACCGACTGGTCTGGGCTTGGCGGCAGGAAAACTTGTCGAGCTGGCACCTTTCGACCGCGATTATTGAGCGATAACTCATCCCCACACGCCACTGCCCGCTGCTCCCGTAAAGTACACGGCATGGACTGGCCCTCAGGCTCGTGTTTTGGTTGACTCGGGCTCTGAAAACGCTGATAAATCGGATCAAACAGAGGAAGAAAATCATTTTCGACTGAAAAAATCTGATTTTCGAAAAGGGAGAAAGAGAGAGAGATTGAGGACGAATTGAGGCAAGGGAAACTCGAGAAACCGAAGAAGGACATCCCAAGGAGGTTCCTGGGAAGTTTCAGAGGGTAAGAAGACCTGTAGAACTCACACAAGCTCGGACAAGATCACAACTTGCAGAAATCCGAGGTGAATGGTTTTGCATTGAGTTTGTGAGATTCAATTCTCATGTTTAATGGTGTAGATTAGTGTTTCTGCAAGGATTTAGGGTCTAGGGATGTTTAATAATGAGTGGGTAACATTCGGGATCAAAATCGGATAAAAAATTGGTCAAAAAATGGTGAAAATCGGACTGGATCTCGCGGGGAAGACGAAGTCCAGGACCTGGACAGGTCGGTCTGGGCACGGACAGAACGAGCAGTCGAAAATTAAGCTGGACCGACCGATCCACACTCAGACCGATCGATCCCGAAGAAATATTAAACTATGAATCGAACCAGGCGAACCAAGAAGGAAAAATAAACCGAAAAAGATGTAGACCGGTCGGTCCACCTCAAGACCGACTGGTCCAGACGAAAACAAAACTTCTAAAAAGGCTAGACTGGCTGCAACTCCGACTATATGTCGAAATAGTTTGAGATGAGACCTAAGGAAACGGAAAGATTAATGGATCGAACGGTCCAATAAACGGATCGATCGGTCTGACCCAAAATCAACCGAGAATACAAAAAGGAAACGAACCCCGTACTAACTAGAATACGATGTTAAGTTAAAGCTGAATGTAAACAATACACTAAGTGGATTAAACTAAAGTAGAAAATGGGTAAATGCTGATATAGAGGAAATGAACTTCAAACCGATGTGAATATGAGAATAGGAAATAAATGACTGTGGATATG